TGGGAAAGCGGCCGGCAAGCAGCTCTGCCCTCGGGGATGCCGTCACCGCCTTACCTTATAGTCATGGGGGATGACGGGCGAGACCTGCCGGCAGGTGAGCACCACCTGCTGCCCCGGCAGCTCGTAGACCAGCCAGGCACGGGGGTACAGGGCGTGGTAAAAGGCGTAGCGGCCGCAGTAGCCCCAGTTCCAGCCCTGCAGGCTGCTGGGTCTCTCCAGGGACAAGACCTGCTGGTAAATGGTCTGCCCCTTGCACCGCAGGCACACCGTGAACTGTGGAGGAGAGGAGCCCGTGCAGGGGATGAGAGGAGCCCTGTGGCAGATGTCCCAGCCGCCCAGGCTGCTGCAGTGACTCTCACTCCCCTCACAGTCCTTGCTGCACACTGTGTTCAGCAATGATTCCATAGTGGGAAACGCCAGGGTTCAGCTGCCAGCGGCAGAACTCTCCCCACCAACATTTTCACCTTTAGAAAAGAATAAAAATTATTTGTAACTTTACACGTGTTATTTGCTGTCTTAAAAAGTCCCGTATGAATATGTAAGGTGACTATGACTTCTCCAGTACCTTGAAGTCTGTTGCTCTTCAGTTGCAAGAGTAGAATTGGCTGCAGCCTCCTCATGTCTGCTGGGATGGTCAGAGCAGCCACTGGTGCTGCAACAGCTTAAAGGGAGAGGGGCAGTGCAGAACCATTGGGCAGTTGTCAGAGCAAAGCTTTCTGGCGTTCACGGGCAGGCAAAGGCCTCAGCTGAGTGCAGGAAGCAGTGGCTTTGTCTGTGGGAGGCTGACAAACCACTCCACTGTGTGTTGGGAAATCAGAGGGGAGCTTCAGGTGCCTTGAGCTGCTCATTCCCTCCTGTGTTTAACCCAGTGTGGGGCTGGGGCTGTGCCCGGGGCTCCAGGCAGGGTCTGGCGCAGCCCTCCTGCAGTAAATCCCTGCTGCAGTTCCTTTTGGGGAGGGAACAGCAGCTGTGGTGCATTCCAGAATGTGGCCTGCCCTTCCCCAGCTCAGCCTCGTGCTGCTGCTGAAGGTGGCACTTGTTCCTGCTCTCTGGTGAGCTCTGAGCTGACTGCAGCTGGGACTGGTGAATTCCCATCCTCTGTTACTGTGACATTTCATGGATTTTTCCCATGGATTTTGCTCCAGTGCCTGTCTGGCACCCCTGTGTCTGTGAGCTCATTGACGTGGGCTTGGTGCGTGCACAAGTCAGCAGTGAACGGGTCAGAAATGCGACGTAAGAACAGCCCGTGATCCAGTCCTGAAGGGAGTGTGCCCAAAAGCCTCTGCCAGAGAAGGGCACCCCAGCCCTTCACTGATTCCCACAGCACCCTCTGGGTTTATCTCCAGAGCCACACTGGGAATAAATATCTACAGGGATGTTTGGCTTGAGCACAGAGAGAAGGGATTTGCTGCTTTTGCTTTGAGTGTGCCCAAGCTCTGTGGCTGGACTGCCCAGCCTTCCCTGGCGAGGTGCTGCCTGGTGTCATCCCAGCCTCTGCTTGCCCTGACTCTGGTGTCACCAGGGTGGGAATAAGTGTCTGGCATGTCCCCAGCTGTGCTGGTGAGCCTCATGGCTCTTGTCTCTCTTGCAATTTGATGCTGTGATTACTCCATGACTTCTGCAAAGACATTTCCTATCTTTATGATCAATAACCAAAATCTTGCAAATGCTGTATTTTTTCAGCTATGTGCAGGGGGTTTTAATCTCATTGTTGTCCTCACTGTGCTTCTGCTCTGCTGCTTTTTGCTGAGCTGGGGGGTTGTTTCCATGCTCAGGAGCTGGATGGTTGTTTTTGATTTCTTTTTGTTTGCATGTTTGCAGGTTTCTTTTTGTTTACCTTGTGTGTCTTTGTTCTCTTTTTCTGTTTTGACAATAGCTTCCTCAGTGTGCTTCAGTCTATACTGAATAGCTACTCAATAGCTTCAGTCTATTTTGGTAAATGTTTTTAGTTCTTACCTTAGTTTTTTGTTGATTTTTTTCCTTATAGTCAGAAGGAGGTTTTTACTTTTTCCTGATAATCTCCTGAAATAAGTGCTTAACCAGCAAGCACAGCTGACTTTTGAGAAGTCTTTAACTTTCCCTTGAGAGAATAGTTTCATGTACCTGCAACCAGACACAAAACCACCAGGGGTCATGGGTACCTCAGTCTGACTTCTTCATCCCCAGGCTGCCTCTTCTCTCTCTCCAAGTTGCCCACTCTAGGTCACAACCCTTTGCACCATCATCCGGTTACAAAACTGAAAGGATTAAAGTACTTTGAAACTCATTCTGACTAAGCTGGTTTTATTTCTTCCTTGACCTGAAGCTGAATTTTTCTTGTACTTCATTTCCCCAAAATTCCCAGCAGTTACACAGACAAACCTAACAGTATCCATAACATGGACTTTGCAGCTGCAAGATAAATTCTGATGTTGCCAGATTGGCTTGGCCATAATTTTTGCGTTTGGTGGAAAAACACCTCCAGCCTTGCTGATCCTGGACAGTCTTTTGTTCACCTTTAGCCAGTGTCCTGTCTTTTGAAGGCATTGTGCTGCCTCCTGTAGCTCCCGGAGGCCTATCGGGAGAAGAAGGTGTACCGCTCGCTGGCCTACATGCGGCCCCTCAGCATCTGGAGCATGCAGCTGGCCCTGGAGCGCCGGGCTGGCCGGGCACCGGCACCCGCACAGCTCCCCCAGGGCAGCACCCCCCCTTGAGCCTCGTGGCGCTGGGCAGGGCACGGGGTGCACCGTGGGCTGGGGGGTGCAGATGGCAGGCAGGGACCCTCCCCTCCCTCTCTGTGCTAGTACTGACATTGCTGTTTTCCTTCCCTACCTCCACTACGTGCCCTTGACCTCAGGGGGCTTCCAGCTGCTGATGCTGAGCACAAGGGGGGGACCAGAGGTGTGGGGGATGTCTCCTCAGAGCGTGGTGGCTTAAGGAGTTGCTGCTGGAGCCTGTGCCTCCCCTTCCCCATCACTCAGGGCTCTACCAGCCTGCAGGCTCCCCAGCCATCCCAAGCTGCAGCTGGTACCTTGCCCGGGGGCACAGGAGACCTCTCTCCTGCAGTCATTGGGCTGGGGGAGGTGGGCAGCTGTGCTGCAGGGAAAGAAGAGGGTGTGTGTGAGCGTGTGTGTGAGGATATTGGAGCGGTGCACTGGGGCACACGGATGCTGTCGTTGTCCTGGGGTGGCACTGCACACAGTGACTGGCTCTGCCCCAGGAGGGCCTGTGGCAGATACAATCCCCAGGGGAGACCCGGCTCCCTGCACAGTGACAATCTGAGCCCAAGAAGCAGGTCCTGGTCTGGTACCATGGCCCCCTCCCTGCTGGCGCCGGGGGCAGGCAGTGGAGCACATTCAAGGGGATAAATCACTTCAATTCTTAATAAATCTGTCCAGCTGTCTACTCTCGTTCTTCTTTGGTGTGTTCTTTGGCACAGGACCAAGGTGGAAGAGGGAACTCTTGCAATTCCCCATTATCTTCCTGGACTAGGCTGAAGGGCTAGGGAGGCAGGGAGGGGACAAGTCCCAGTGGTGCCTGACTCTTGTGGAGTTTTGCTGAAGGGAGCAGGATGTGCCTCTTTACCCCCTTTTCCAGATGTAATGGCATGAAAGACCTGACCCTTGCTTTCTTTTCTGCTGCCTGCAAGGTGCAGTAAGGCCAGGAGCCAGAAAATACCTCTGTGAGCAGCAGCTGTGCCAGTTAACCAAACCCTGTGCCCTTCTGCTCAGGGCTGGGCACCTTACTTCCTTTTCCTCCTTTGTGTGCCAGCACAACCTTTGAAGGTTGCACCAGCCTGATTAGGGAGGCATGGGGATTAGGGAGGTCTGCTGCCCTTCCTTTTGTGTTCCCAGACAATGCTGGGAACTGTGAGTTTTGATGGATGCCTTGGTAATGCTGAGTCACAGCCGCTGCTCCAGCCTCCCTAAGCAGTGGGACATGGGTCCTGCATGTGTGGGGTCAGCATGGCCCCTTTTTGTGGCACCAGGGAGCAGCGGCATGAGCACCAGCTGGGACAGCACCTCTCCCTCACCAGGCGGAGCAGGACAGAGCTGGGAGTGCTGGGTTCTCCCCTATACCATGGCTAAGTCATCAACAGTACTCACAGAGACAGCACAGCCAGAAATTCCCATGGTCATGGACACTGCACCATGGGATAGCACTGGGATGGGGTGGGATGGCATTGGATGGCATTCCAGGGCTCAACAAGAGCATACAGCCTGTTAGACAGCGTGGCACAGCACAGCCAGGGCCTGCAGCCCCTCACCCTGCACCCGGCACAGCACAGCACGGCTCAGCACGGCACGGCCAGATTCTGCCTCAGGGCTGCCCTCACCTCCCTGGAGGCAGCACCACAGGGCCAGGGCGAGCAGCAGCAGCATCTGGGGTCCCCATGGCAGTGGTGGCTGTGTGTGCTGCTGGGGCTCTGCCTGCACTGCTGCCCCACGCCCCCTCAGCCCCTTTTTTATAGCAGAGGGAGCTGAGCCTCCTGAAGGGACATCCGTGGGGTAGGATAGCCCCATCCTCTCTGGGGATGCACAGGGGACTTGTGCAGGGCAGGGACAGGGAGCTCACCTGATCTTGGATAGAGCTGGACAGAAAAAGAGCATGAAGGGCATCACAGGGACGGCAGTGGAGCTCTGTGAACCCCGCAGGTAGGGCAGGGCATCTCTGAGGACATCACAGTCAAGGGCTTCACAGGAGGACCCTGAGGAAACCACAGGAAGGACTATCAGCTCTTTCTGTCCACTTTAGAGCTCAGTGTTCCCTAAGTCCTCAGCAGCCTTTAGGGTGGGATGGCAAGCAGCCTATCCTATTTGCTGTGAGCATTCTTCCCCCACTTGTCTGTCTTGGGAGCTGGGCAGGCAGGGCATCGCCACGGTGGCCCAGGGCTGTCAGTGGGTGACAAATGGCCTTTTCTCCACTCCCCATGGGAGTGTTCCTGCAACCACATGAGTAGAAAAGTAACAATATCCAGGAAGGACAGGTTGTCCTGGATGCAGCACGCCCAGAGCAGCTGGTGTCATCCTCACATGGAAAAGCCCACAGACGATGGAAAGGGATGGAGATGCAGTCCCTTAGGGTCACCATGGCAAGGTTGGTGGGACAGGGGTGCCAGCACATCAATAAGGAACACCCGAGGTTCCCACGTCCATCCATATCCTGTTGGCAGCTTCCAACAACAGCAGTGATGTCCCAATCCAGCTGGCAAGGAACAGGAGCAGGCACTGAGGACACCGCAGCTTCTGGCTGGACTGGTGTTGCTTTGACACCTCAATACTGTTCCTTAATCCCAGACAACGTGCCTTCCAAAGGTTGGGGTTCAGTCTGCAACAAGGGATATTTCTGATTTCTCCTCCACTCTGGGCTGTGTCGCCTCAATTAGTCTTGTATCTGATAGGCTCAGCTTTCATCAGCTTCTGCATGGATGGAGCTGGGGGCTGAGAGGGCAGTCCCTGCTCACAGGCACTTTGCCTGCACCACTGTTTTTCAAGGCTGTCTCAACGCCAGTTTGAGCAGCAAGATAACTTGTCCATTAACTGTTTCTTACTATTATTCACCAGCCCTTATTTTTCACAACACCCTGAATGTGCATGAGTTTTAAACCACAGCCCTGATGACTTTTAACTTCTTCAGTGCTTCCTGCTTTGGATTTCTTCCCTGACTGCTGGTTGCCCCCACTTTCTGCTGTGCCAGGGCTCAGGCATGGCATTGCAGAATTTAGTCCTGGTGATGATTGCCAGCTCCAAGGCAATTTATTCTCTGATCTTTGGAGGGCACACACCCCATGGAGACACCTCAGCACTCAGCTGAGATCAGTCAAGAAATCTGCCTGCTTGGGCACTGAGCTGGGCCCTGAACCTGCGAGATGAGCCACAGGGATTGTAAAGTACAGGAAAAATAAAGATTATGTGAACAAATGAATAATATTGTTTGTGTGATGCTAAAATAAACCTACGCCTGTAAATGAGCTGTGGGCTGCCATCAACAGCAGGGAGACTTTGTGTTGTCCATCCACAGGGTTCCTGCAGGAGCCCCCTGAACCGTGGTGGTGGAGAGGGGTGATGGAGAGGGGTGATGGAGAAGGGATGATGTCTGCCCCTCCTGCCCTCTGCACCCTTCCCGGATTTACCCTGCTTGTTATCCCAAACATTGGCAATGCTCTGGGCAGCACCTGCTTGCCAAAAAACAGTCAGAGCAAATGGCAGCTATGTGCTAAAACACACCTTGTTAAACAGTTGATTTCTGGGACAGAACGCACTGGGGAGGAATGTGCGGCTGCCAGCCAGCTCTCTAGAGAGGGATTTCTTCCAGGCAGGATGCAAGAGGGCTGTAGGGTTCCTGTAGGGAGGAGAGGGGGCTGTGGAGATGCCAGCAGCAGAAATACAATTCTCTCCAGCCTGGATAGCAATGAAATTTATTGTCAGAGAGAAACCAGGGCTCAAATGTGAAATTTAAGAGAAAGCAAAGGCTGAGAAAAATAAAAATACATGTTGTTTATTTTTGAGACTTTGCAAAGAACTGCCTTGTCTCCAGTTTACAAAAAGTATTATTTGCTGGTGAATAGGCTCCATCAGCTTTTGTTATAATGATTCGGGAAACAAAAACATGCATTTTAGGAGACTGCCTTGAAAACCATTCAGAAATGGGTGAGAAACTCTGGGCTGTATCCATTCACTTCAGCCTCCTTGGCCAGCAACAAGTGTAACATAAGGGGAATTAATGAAAATTTGTTCTTACAGTTGTCTAAGAATCCCTGTATAAATACAATTTTTGTCATTATTAAGATCCAATGTCCCAGATATTCAGTGAATGTTGGCTTCTCACTAAGTAAATAATTCCCTTCCAACACGCACCAGTTTGCAAAAACAACAGCTTAACATGCACATCAGACCTTCGCAGACCCATCAGTAGGGGGGTGGGGGCAGGGGGCCACAGGAAAGCTGAACCCAAAAGAATCTGGGTGGTGGGTGAGCTTGCATGAGCATGCCTGGTGAGGAAGAGCAGGGTGAGCCAGTCCTGGGGTCACCAGGCTTAAGGAGCCTCAAAACCTGAGTACAGAGTGATGTGGCAAATAGGTGACAGAATGGACAACAGCTCCAGAGAGGGGTTTTCCCCACTGACCACTTCCCAGCAGCTGCTGATCGGCAGGAGCCAGACCCTCCCTGCAAGGTGCCAGGGAAGCAGGAATGGACATTTTCAGCACTCATTTCTGGGAATGTTTGCTGCAATTACCCCCTCTTATGGCTGGAAACCACAAATTTGGAAACACCCAGATTGCACAATGCCCTGGCCAGAGGTGCCACCCACAGCCCTGGCAGCTATAAAAAGGAGAGGGAGCAGGAGCCTCAGCAGACACCTGCAAGGAGCACATCCCAGGTACATCAGCTGTCCTCCTGCTGCAGAGATGGTGCAAGCAACTCCCTTGCTGCTGGTGCTCTTCCTGGCCCTGGGGGCTCATGGCCTCGCTGCGAAAAAGGTACTGAGGGTGGGATGCACAGGGTGGGGTGGGCAGGGGGCTGTGGCTGCAGGCACCAGTGCTGAATTCCTGCCCTCCAGTGCTCCCTGACCGGGCGCTGGGTCAATGACCTGGGCTCCAACATGACCATCACATCCGTGAATGCAAATGGTGTCTTTGCTGGCTCCTACCACACGGCTGTGACAGCCACCTCCAACGAGATCAAGAAATCACCGCTGCAGGGATCCATGCAGAAGGGCCCTAACCAGAAGGGCCAGCCCACCTTTGGCTTCACCGTCAACTGGAACTTTTCAGGTACTTCTTTCCCAGCCTTTATGGTATCCTGGACTTCCCCTGCCCTGCCCCTTCTGCTCTTGAAGTTTTAGGTAATGGAGCTCTGTGCATTGTGTTTTAAGGCTTACAAGCAGGTATTGTATTCGAAATAAGCAAGCATTGTTTTAACCAAAGGTACCTGTGCTTATAGTGGTTGGACGGAACTACTATCAACATGCTTTTGCTTTGTGTGATTGGTCAAGACAACTGGATCAGGAAAAATGCAGTGCTGAAGCAGCTCTGACTGGGTAGAAAGTAAATTCTGGCTGGGGAAGGTCATGACTTATGGCCCACTGAGTCAAGAAACCCACCAACTCAAGAGAAGAGAAAGGCTGAGCCCAAAAATTAATTAGCATCAGATGCAAGAGAATTTTTAACCAATAGGAGAGAGAATAGTAATTAATAAAAGAACTAAATAATTCGTAGCCAATGAACATTAATACCTTTGTTTGCTAGATGTGTAAATAGCAAAATGTTTTGATAGTTATTGTGCTTGATCTTTGGAATAACACTGAGGACTCAGGCTTGTGGAACTAAAACAGAAAATCAACGTCTCTCTTAGATGTGTAACTACTGCCTTGTTATACACCAGATAACAAATCCAATTCTTCTGGACAGCTCTGTCACAGCTCAGCACACACATTCCCAATACCCCTATGGTGTCTGTGTCTCATGGTCCCTTCTGTCACCATACCCGAGGCATCATGCGTGTCCCCTGCTGTGACCCTCCATGGCATAAAGTCTCCTTTGCAGCCCCCCAACCCCACCACGGTCCTTGGGGGTCCCCCCTGCCCCTGCCCAGGGCAGCAGGAGCCCGTTCAACCTGGAGCAGTGCCCAGTTGCCCATCTCCCACTGGGTGTCCTTTGGCAGGAGGCCAGGTTTCGGCAGCCGCTGCCTGCCCACAGCCCCCTCTGCTATAAAAGGGCACAGCACACAGCCACCACCACCATGGGCACCCTGGGCTGCTGCTGCTCGCCCTGGCCCTGCTCGTGGCCCCTGGTGCTGCACCAGGGAGGTGAGAGCAGCCCTGGCAGCCTGGCCGTGCTGAGCCGTGCTGTGCTGTCCCGGGTGCAGGGTGGGTGAGGGGCTGCACGCCCTGGCCATGCCATCATCCCTGTGGTGCACTGGGAATGACCAGGGGGCTACCTGCTCCTGCTGTGCTTTCTGGTGCCATGCCGTGCCACTCCATGCTGTGCTGTGCCACAGACTGCTGTGCCATGCTGTCCTGTGCCGTGCTGGGCCACCCCTGGGCACAGTGTGCAGGGCTGACAGAATTGTGTGTTTCTACCATGCCATGCTGTGACACCCCAGCACACAGCTTGTCAGCTCCTCTCGTGTCCTGCTGTGCCATGCCACGCCACGGTGCAGTGTCCATGACCAAGGAGGCTGCCAGCTCTGGCTCTGCTGTCCCTGGGGCTGCTGTGGGTCACCTCCCCTGCTGTAGGGGGTACCCAGTACTCCCAGCTCTGCCCTGCCCTGCTCAGGGAGGGAGAGGTGCTGTCCCAGCTGGTGCCCATGTGCTGGTCACTTGCCACACAGAGGGGCCATGCCATGGGACACACATGCCACTGCTGGTGAGGGGAGGGGGAACTGTGGCTCAGCATTGCCCAAGCCACCCACATAACCCCGGTCCCCCGTGTGACCTGCAGGGCCTGTGGAGAAATGAGCTGGGCTCCAATATGATCATATTTGCCACGAACACAGCTGGGACCCTCTCAGGCTCCTACCAAACTGCAGTGGCAGCCACCAAAGAGCAGGTCCTGGTGTCACCCATGTGAGGGGTCCAGCAGCATCCCAGTGCCAAGAGATGCCTCACCTTCAGCTTCACTGTGCAGTGGCAGCTCTCAGCTACAGCAGTGACAGTGATCCTCTGCCCGTGCTGGGAGTGGGAACCCCCTGTCTGGTGCTCCAAATCCCCTGTGGCACCCAGAGGAACCCTGGCTGTGGGCATGGATTGGCCACGTGCACACACTCCTGCCATGGGAAGTGGTGGTGGCAGAGCTTGTCTGTGGTGGGTTTCAGGGTTGTCTGGACAGAGGGGTGTCCATCTGTCTGTCCAAGGGGCACGGCTGATGCCCAGCTCTGTGTCCAGTGATGTGGAACAGTCCACCTGGCCAGTGTCGCAGGGAAGTCCATCTCTCTGTCCAGGGCATGTTTGTCTGCCTGTCTGCCAGGACCAGGTGGCCCAGGCTTCCCTGTCTTGAGATGCAGGTTCTCACCCTCCTCTTCCTCTCTCAAAGCTTGCCAGACTCCTCCACTGCCTTTGTGGGCTTCGTGGATCACCAAGGGAAGGAGACCACGTGGCTCCTGTGGGAAGAGGTCCTGTCACACAAGGACACCTGGAAAGCCACAGGTGAGCTATATCCATGCCATCTCCCCCTACAGGGTCAGCTCTTCCACCTTCACCTGCATCAAGTGATGGGAACAGGGACCAGTGCTGTCTGCACCCTGCTGTTCTTCTGCCTCTCCAAGTCTCCTCACTGTCCCAGTCCCAAGCTGGGCTCCGGCAAGGAAACACACCCTCACTTTTCTCTGCTTCTTCCCAGTGCCTCCCAGCAACCTGTTGGTGGGGCTCCCCATTCCCATACTTGCTGCCCCCCACATGGAGCCAAATAAACCTTTCCCCACACGGCACAGAGCTGTGTCCCTTTTATCCATGGTATGCAAGCAGCCATGTGTGGATGTCTCCCCATCTGTGGCCATGGGGAGAGCAAGGTGCTGGCAGGGGGACAGCAGGGAAGTGGTTTTGAGGGGATGGGAAAGATGGGGTTGGGGGACAGTAATTCTGCTTGACCATGGCTCCAGCAGGTGCCTTCTTGCCTGTGTACCCACCTGGGACATTCACAGTGCTGGGTGGCTCCAAGCAGCACCCCCAGTGTGGGGCACAGCACACCCCGCAGCTGGGGGTAGGGGTGAAAGCCACATGCAGGCAAACCAGCACTCTCTCCTGGCCTCATCCCGTGTCTCCACACCCCTCTCTGCCCCATCTCCCATCAAACTCAATTTCCAGCTGTTGCTCTGGTTGGGAGTCTCCCCATGCACATATGGGGAGGGCTCTCACAGAGGGAAATCCGGGGTGTTGGGGTGGTCCAAAATCCAGGCTGGATGCTGGGGGGATCAGGAGAGAGGCCTGGGACTCCAGGGGGAGCTGCTGGACAGACTGGGTGGCCAAAGCCAGATACTGCAGGCGTGGATCTGCATTATGCAGGCACAATGTACTTCCCACTGACTGGCTGTCACCCGATCAGCTGGCAGGTGGAACAGGATACGGATCCTTTCTGGTGTTCACGTTCACAGGATGTTATCTGAACATTAAACTTTATCAGCTCCCTAGGAAAGGAAACAAATCAAACAAGGGCCCGATGCCCTTTGCACCGGTCTGGCGCTACAATTCAGTAATCCATCATTTCAGCAGCTCATGAAGTTTCTAACTCATTAGTTACATAATCCACGATGCACAGCTCCTAACTCCTCCTGAGCACCACAGGGAGAAGCTGTGTGAGCAGGGAGAGGTGCAAAGGGTGTGAAGGACAACACTGCCTGGCAGCTGTAGGGCTGCTGGGGCAAGAGGTTGCTGGATGGGGCAGAAAGCACACAGTGCCCCAAGAAAGTGTCAGTGCCTGTCTGCCATCCTCTTCCTCTCACAGTGTGCCTCTCCTTCCCCAGCCTTCCTCAGCCTTTGCTCTTTTCCCTCATTCCCTGCTGGGTTGGGGGTTGCACACAGAGCACACAGACCTGAGACTCTCCAGAGTAAGCTTGTACTGACTGAGCACAACTGGTTGGTGTTGTGATTGGTGGTCCAGCTTTTGGCCAAAAGTTACCCTGCATCCTCATCCTCACCCTTTCACCCTCATCCTCATGCCTGCACTCTGCACAGAGCCCTCAGTTCATCCCCACTGATCCTTGGCACTGCTCTGGTTGTGCTGGGGTCATTCTCCTGCTTCCCCTCCCCAAACGCCCACTGTGGCTGTCACCAGCACCAGAAGCACCCAAAGACTTCTCTGAGTGGTCTGTGAGGCTAAAGCCAGTGCAGGTGGTTGAGGCTGGGAGCCCTGAACAGCAGGGCATGAGGCCACTGAGAACCATACTGGCCTAGGACATAAGATTTAATTTCTGTCATTTCATTACCCCCACAACTGCAAATTCCCTGGCTCCTAGTTCCTCCTAAGAAGGCAGCCAGTGCGACAGAGAATGATCCAAGCATTGTGCTTCCTTAATAAGAAAACTGAAAGTAAAACTGTAGAGTTTCTGAGAAATCAGCAGTGGGGGCACCACCCCCTCTGCATCACAATCTGTGTTTATCAGCTGTCCTAACTATCCCACATCCTGTCTCTGACCTAGGTGTGATCCTGCCCCATTTATTGACATTTCATTTGCCTTTTTCTCTTGCCTGGTACATGCAACCTGGGCTGCTCACCTCCAGCCTGCAATGCCTTACTCAGAGGTTTTCCTGTTGCTCTTTGGGCCGGTTTGCTTCATTCATCTCCCAATTCCCTGGACCCACTGCAGATCACCTGCACATACCTTGTCCAGCCCTCGTGACTCTCTGTCCTTCTGTCCATCCCCTGTGGTGACCAGAGGGTGCTTTGGGACACAGGAGCTTCAGCAGGGCAGGATGGAAACTTAAACCCAGCCCTCAACCAGTAGACATGGGGCTAAAGACCCCCAGTCTGGGTGATGTCAGTGGGCAGCTCCATGCAACCCCTCCTGCATGCCTGTTTTCCCCATCCCCATCCCTGTGTCAGTCCCAGTTCCAGTCCGCATGCCTATCTCCATCCATGCCTCCAATCCCTCATCCCTGCCCCCATCCCTGCCCCATCCCCATCCCTTCCACTCTTGCTTCCCTCCCCATCCCTGCCCCTGCTCCCCCATCCCACCAAAACCTCTTCCTGTCTTCATCCCCAGCCCTGTGCCCATCCCCATTCTTGACCCTGTCCCCACACCTCTTCCCGTCCCTGTCTCCTTCCCCTTCCTTGTCCCAGTATCAGTCCCTCCCTCAGGTACCACCCGGGGCTTTCCCGGAAAGCAGCGTCGGAGCCGAATATAAGCCTGTGAGTCACTGGCACGGCGTGGTCCTTGCCGCCGCTGCATCCCGAGCTGCATCCCGAGCTGCATCCCGATGAGCCGCCGCGTCCTCTCCCTTCTCGCCCTGCCTGCAGGGGTGTCCGTGGCCGCGGCTGCGGCAGGCTTCCAGGTGGGAGCTCCTGCTGGGGGCACGCGTGGGAAACTCGGCTCCGGGGAAGTCTGGGCGGGAGCACGCCTGGGGATCCCGGTGTTCGGGGAGGGACACGGGTGGGAGACTCGCGGGAGGGGTGGAACATGGCATGGGAGCTGCAGCGCTTGTTAGGGGTGGGACACGTGTGGAAGACCCCTCTGCGGGGGGAATATTCGGCAACAGGATCCTCTGCTCCAGCGGGTATCCAGACGGGAAACCCTGCCGAGGGAGATGAGGGAAGAGATGTTCGGGGGTAATCCGTGTGCCCGGCAGGAATGTGCATGGAGATTCCTTCCCTCTAGCAGGGGTCCTGCATACGGAAATCCCCCACTTCCCTCCCAGGGACATGGAGGGGAATTGGGACGTGGGAAGCATGGGGATCCTGCCTCAGGGGGTGACGTGCCCCTGTCTCGGACGGGATGGGAACAGGCAGTGCTTAGAAATGCAGGTGGGATGTGCAGGGCTCTGGCTGAGGCGCAGCCCACTGTGGACCTGAGGGATAGCACATCCCAGTGAGCTTCCCTGTCGTGCTACATGTGTGCTGAGCACGGCACAGGTACCCACAAACACGGGCAGATGTGCCCTGGACTCGCACAACTCACCTGCCAGGGCTACAGCAGGGGTCCCACCCATGTTCCTGCCTGTCCAGGGCTCCCACCGTTCACTTTTCCTCTTCACCTCTCCCTTTTGCTTGGCTTACCCCAGCTTTTGGCCCTCTTGATGTAGCTGAGATAGCAGCAACTTTATGAATCAAGTATTTTAAAAATGAATGCTCAAGCACTCTCCAGACTCCAGAAACACTCTGCTGTGCCACCATCCACAGCCTGACCTGTGTTTGTGCTCGTTTCCAAGCTTCTCTGCCAGGGAGTTGAGCACCCTGCGGAGAAAAAGGCCAGTGAGAAAGAGGAAAAGGCAATCTTTAACTGCCTGGGGAAAAGCAGAAGGCAAACCAAGGTGAGTGCCAGCACCCCGTGGGCATCAGAGGTTGTGGGCAGGGGGCTCAGCCTGTAAGGGTACAGGCAGCCCCCTGTGTACAGGCAGCCCCCAGGGACACATCTGCTTATCCCCAGCCATGCAACCTGACCGGCTGGTGGGAGAATGATCTGGGCTCCAAGATGCAAGTGTTCAAGGTTGGCAACGACGGAACCTTCTCTGGGGAGTACCACACTGCCGTGTCAAGCGCCAAGAAACCCATCCAGGTGTCCCCACTGACTGGCTCCCAGCACCTGGATGAGGATGGACAGTGCACCTTTGGCTTCACTGTCAACTGGAAGAAGTTCTCAGGTCTGTAGCTGCATGACGGCTGTTGTTGGATGGAGTGGTGGGATGGAGAGGGGAGCTCAGGCAGGTCCCAGTGCTCATCCCAATTCCTCTGCTCTCTCTGCTGTCCTCTGTCCCTCCTTCCCTGATCTCTCCCCACTCTGGATGGTGTCTGCAGACAGCAGCACACCTCCCAAAACAAGGTCTGGGTGAGACAGCACCAAGGGTTGCTTTGACAACACCTCTGCCACACAGCATTTCCTGCAAATATTGGGATCCACTCAGGCTCCATGAGCCCTAAACTCATGGATGCCTGTGAAGCTCCAAAATCAGCTGGGGTCCTGTTGGGATGCTGACAGCCACCACTGCTTTAGACTCCACAGCTGTCTTCGTGGGCCAGTGCTTCAACGGGGATGATGGGAAGGAGGTCCTGCACACCTCCTGGCTGCTGCGGGAGAAAGTCGACTCGGAGACGGATGACTGGAAAGCCACCAGGTGAGCCAGGGTTCCCCAGTCCATCTGGGATCCCTACCCTGCTGCTGGCTGGGCACCAAGGGGCTGCTGCTTCCCCGCAGGACCGGCCACAACACCTTCACTCGAAGGGGCTGAAGGAGGCAGAAGCACTGCCTTCTCTGCCACACTGCACTGCACCTTATCCTGGCCACACTCGGCAGACAGGAGTCCCCTCAGCAGCCTCATGTACCAGCATGCCCTGATGTTTCCAGCTCTGGAGGAAGGTGTCTCAAAAAACATCAAATAAAATTAAAGATATTTAAACACAGCCTTGTGCAGTCTGTGGATATGTCCTGGAAAAGCTGGGCTAAAACACGGTGGGGAGTGGGTGTGGGATGAAACTCTCATTCCCTTCTTCTGGGAAGAGACTGACCCCAAGAAAGCCCCTTTTCCAGCCCAAACAGGACAGTGCATCCTCAAAGTAACCAAATGCCAAAGTAACCCTCTGACACTAACTGTGACCAGTACTCACTCTTTTCTGTTGAAAGCCTGGTGAGTGTGATGGGAGGGTGAGCTGGGGAGCTCTTCTGCACCCCAAAAACCTGGCTGGGAGGCCCCTGGCTCTGACACAGCCCTTAAGCAGGCAGGTGAGGGGCCTTGGCTGTGTCCACACTCCTGAAAAGTGCCAAGGGCTGCTCTGTACCAGCCACACAGGGCCAGTAGCTGCAGTACACCCGGCCCAAAAACCTTTCTGGGAAATGTGATTTACTGAAAAGCTAATGACCAGTAAAGACAGCCTCTCAAATCTCTGCCCAATGGACTATGTGACTGACCAAAACGGGAAGTGCCTCTGCTGCCTTAGGCACTCCTCTAAGCCAAAGAAAATGATTTCCAGGAAATCAGCTCTGGGCCTGAATGTGAAACTTAGTCCTTGTGTCTTTGATTCTCAAAATAACAGGGGACAGTGCAGCATGCCCTGAGCTGGCACACTGCCTGGATTTGATGAACTTAAAAGCGTGACTGAGCTGCTGGGGCTGCCACCCCCCTCTGCTCCCCCGGCTTTTCTGCCACAAAAGCTGTGGGTGGGAGAGCTCTGCTAACAGCACTGTGGCTTTAGCAAGTTTGCCTGCTCTGTGTTTTCGCCTGCCTTGTTGCAAACTCACATGTGGTTTGCTTCTTTCTCCCTGGGGCTCATCTTCCGCTTCCAGAGTGGTGCTGCTGTTCCCTTCTCCGTGCCTCACTGGTATTTCTCCAGCTTTTTCAGTTCCCTTGCAGTATTTCTGACCAGAATATCTTTACACCAGCCCTCTGCTATGCATTTATGTATCTGCACGGCTTTTTACGTGTTTTTAGAGGAGTCTGAGAAGTGGGAAAGTGAGAGGCAGGGGGAGTGCAGGACTCTGCTCTCACCTGAAGCGTAACCAGCTCAGCAGTGAGGTGCCCCCTAAGCCTCCAACCTCCCTGCCTGCATCCTCCTGACCTCATTATTGCCTTCACGCCAGCATCTCCCCAGGGCAGGCTCTCCCAGAGGCTGTGCATCATTCCCAGAGTGCTTCAGCAAGGCAGCAGGGCTGACCACAGCTGGAACATCCTGCAAACCCCGGCAGGCAGCTACAGCGCCGGTGAGGAACACGGCAGGCACGAGCTGGCAGAGCTATTTCCAAGGCCAGTCCCTACATGGGGGCACCCAGCCTGGCTGCCATGCATCCCTGGCACACCTCCGGTTTGGGGTGACAGGTGATTGGACCTGGGGGTGACTGCAGGCATCTGGGAGTGGTTAAGGATGGGGATGTTTCTCTGTGGACATTCAGCACCCCTCAGCTCTGAGTTGTATTCATCTGCAGACCTGCTCATGGTGCTGGTCTGCAAACCCAGCACCATTTGTTTCCCTCTAGCATGGCCTCATCAGCGAGGCAAATGTGAGCAGGGCTTCCCCTCCAGCCCCACTGCAGGAAAACCCGCTGTTTCTGCTGCAGGACAGGGCTTGATCAGGGTCGTTCACACATTGTGAATGCCTCCAGGGGCGGTGGAGGCAGGAGGCACCTGAAATCACAGGGACATGGCTGTGTGGCACAGCTGTTCACACACATAGTGCATCAGTTTAAAAAACAAACAAACAAAAACAAAAAAAAAAAAAATGAACTTATTAGGATCTTGGGGTGATGCTTGCATAAGGATCAAATCCCTTCAAGCACTGAAGTCACTGTTAGAATGGAGAAGGAGCCTCAATTGCAGGGGTCCTCCAGAACTTACATGTCTTAACCACATGTGGAAAACTGTCCTACGCAACCGTTTTCTGCGGGAACTGCTCCTGTCAACCGTCTACAAATGTCTCAATGCTGAACATCTTGGTGCCCAACATCTCTCAGTGCAGCTGTTGACCCACCCAAGCAGATGGAGGCAGGGAATTCCCAGGGTGCTCAAGGGACTGCATGGTTTGTGGGTTTTGGTGTAGCAAAACCTGGTACCCCTCCGCTCTGCAGCAATGACAAAAGAATAAATTCCATTTTCAAGCCATAACTTCACTGATGAGTGGGGACACATAGCTCCCATTCTCTCCACCACTTCTACATGGTCTTCTGGTCTGGACCACACATTGTTCTCTGTTCTTCTGCCTCTCTCCTTGGCCCTGTTTCTGCTGTAGCCTTGCCAACCACAGACTGCCATCCTTAGAGAATGGAGGAGCTCCTCAGTTATGTTCTCAGCCCTTCCTGGGTCTGGTTTGGAACGAGAGCACCCTCCCAGATGCGTTTTTCACCCCACCCTACAGATGAGCTCATGAAATTGGTCAGTATAACCCTTTGTGTGGATGAGGAACCTGCAGCCTGTCCAGCTCGCCCTACATGGCTCAGAGGGTTACTCACTCCTGCCACCCTGCCCCACCCAGGCTGTGCTGTGGCACCAGGGCTGAGTCCCCTCCACTGCACTGCACCCTGACCAGGCACTGGGTCACTGACCTCCAGTGTAACCATCTTGGCTGTGCACAGAAAAGGCAACTTCACTGGCTGCTGCACACACCATGGATGAGGCTGGGTGTCACCGCTGCAGGTGACACACTCGATGAACCAGAAGAGCCACCCCACCTTCAGCTGTCAACTAGAGATTTTCAGGTGCTTGTCCTTCCCAGCCTCCCTCTTGTATTCTCAGAGCTCCTCTAGTGTCCACTGAGATGACCTTGGAGTATCCCTGCCCTTCCTGTGATGCCCAGCTCAGCTGGGCTCATGCCACCATGCCCTGCATATCCCATGCCTGTTCAAGGTCCCAGCAGGACAGGAGGCTGGGGAGGGAAACATCACCCACCCACAAGCAGCCTTTCCCACTGACAAATTGGGTGCCTAAGAGGGAGAGCTCCACCCCATCCCATCCCATCCCATCCCTTCACGGACTGCAGGCTCCATCACCGCTTCCATGGGCCAAAACTTCACAGATGAGGAGAGAAAGGAAATATTGAAGGACCACGTGGATCCTGACATGCTCGAGGATGACAGCAAAGCTAGTGGGTGGGCTGCAGGGCACATGTCCACCCTTGCTCTGTGCTGGTGCTGCCCTGGGGGTGTTGCACGGAGCCCACAGGGGAGTGCCAAGTCCTGCGTGCTGGGAGCCAGCTGGGCAGCAAGCAGGGGAGAATGGTGTCAAGATCCCAAGCACTTTTGCAGCAAGTCCCCAGGATGGGAGTTGAACACAGCCCTGTAATTTTTTTTATTAAAAGTAAAGTGCAATTTGAACATAGAATCCTGCTCCCTGAGGAAGAGGAGAGTGGGTTTCCTTGTCTTCAGGCCCAGGAAAGAGGAGAAGGATTGTCAAAGCAGATCTCACCCCTTGTGCTTGGGCAGGGGCCAGAGAGGCACCTCATGATCTGGACCAGCCAGATGCCACTTCTATGTTCCCCTGCATAGTTGGGAGTGACGTGTTCACCTGGTTAGAGTGGTATCTTAGGGGATGTCTCTGTGCCGTGCTCCTGTGCATCTGCCAGGCAGTCTGAGCACCCCCATTACAGTCTGGCACCATCAGGAACTCCTTGGGAAGGGTCAGACAGGGACAGGGCCCTGCCCAGCCTCAGAGCATCATGCATATGCCATCGGCTCCCACGGTGTCTAGGGCAGCGCTGTGCACAGAACACACCCTCCCACAGGAATAAGCGAATTTTAACATCTGCATGTCTTCCAGGAAAGCCATTCTGCACTTGCAAGGATGACTGATTCAAGAACTCCCGCTGCAGTGACAGTCTTAGGTCCCAAACCCGAGGAAAGCCCAGCACAGCCAGGACAAAAAACAGTTGAGAAAGAGCAGCAGGAGGGGACGGTGACAGGGATGAGCCCCTGCAAACACGCGACATCAGTCGGTGCAGCAGGGCACAGCTGGCCGGGCTGCTCTTGCTCCAGCCTGTGTTTAGGTGTCAGCGCTGGCTCGGTGGCAGCGGGACAGTGACAGGCCGTGTCTGCCCCCAGGGCTCCGGCACTGAGCAAGGAACGGGGTCGGCGGAGCCTCTTGGACAGTGGGTGTGTAAATCATCCCTGCATCGCCCCCTCCCCGCACAGCCGTGCCCACCCCCGCGTTCCTCCGGCGTGCCCAGGTCAGGCAGACCTCCTCACCTCGCCCGGCCGGGGCACGCTGACATCAGGACACCCAAGCCGCAGCTGCCAGCCGTCACGGCTCCGGTTACAGCTCTATAAAGGGGTTTGGGATGCAGCAGAGAGGGAGCAGCCCCGGGTATTTCGCAGCCCCGCAGCCATGGGGGGCGGCGCTTTCATCCTGGTCCTCGCCCTCGCCGTGGCCCTGGCAGAGAGTCTTGCTCCTGCAGAGAGGAAGGTACGGGGATGGGTGACAGCGGGAGTGTGGCAGACATGGCAATGGGACACAGTGTGGGCAGCCAGGAGTTCCCCTTTAAATGCCATTTTAGGCTTAGACAAGCAGGAGAGTCTTGCAAGAACCAAGTCCAGGCAGAGGGCAAGGTATCCCAGGATCACCCTCAGCCACCTTGTACCAGCTCCAGAAAGATTTGTTCCCACGAGGGAGCCATGCACAGGGCATTCCTTCCCTTGGGGGTTGTGCCTGGGAGCACCGTGCATCCGACACGTCTGGGTCTGTGTCTGGGTGTACCCTGCATGCTGCAGGGCTGGGATATCCTGGCCTTGCTCCACCATCCTCTCAGCAGCACCTGGGGCAGCATTTCCCCAAAGTGGGATCAGGGACAGCCAATGCCCTGCAGCTGCACTCTCAGCAGGGCTTGTGGCTCCCCTGGTGTGGGGCAGCAGCAGGGATGGGGTCCCTCTGCATGCGGGGGCACAGAGAGTACGTGGCTGTATTCCTTCAGTGCCAGCTCAGCGGACTGTGGAGGAATGACCAGGACTCTCTGATGGAGATTTCGGTGTTGAGGGACAACGGGGACTTCCAGGGACAATACCTTACACGAGTCACCCTCTCCGGGGGCTGTGCCCAAATCTCCCCACTGAGGGGTGCCCAGCAGCAGCTTGGAGAGGAGGGCTGGCCCACCTTTGCCTTCACTGTCCGCTGGGACAAGTTCTCCAGTAAGTGCTGGGACACCTGGGGATGGCACGGCAGTGTCAATGGAAGCCACGCATGCGGCCAGCAGGAATATTCTTTCATCAGGAATTCAGCTGGGTGATGCTTTGGTGCAGCTAAGCAGCAACACCTGCACAGCATGGTGCTAAAGGGGCAATGCTGGGCTTGAACAGGGGAGCCCCTCCTCACCCAGCATCCTTAGGGCAACCGTAGTGGTTCCAGGCCCTGTCAGCACAACTGGGATGTGGTGCTACAAATCCTGCCTCCTGAGGGAGCCACAGGGAAGGGCAGGATCTCCCCAGCATGGGTTTGGTGGATGTGTGGCCATTGGAGCAGGATCACAGCTGGATCTGGGAGGACAGTGGGGTAGGGGAAGAAGCCAGTTTCCCCATGGATCTCCCAATAAGTGCTTCCTCCCAGATGCCACCACCGCCTTCGTGGGGCAATGCTTTGTGGATGCAGGTGGAAAGGAGATACTGAGCACCATGTGGCTGCTGCGTGAAGCTGCTGGGTCACTTGAGGAGGACTGGAAAGCTACAAGGTAGTGGGGGAATATGGGTGACACCAGTCCCACAGAGGGGTCCCCCCTTGAGGAAACTTCGGGGGAATTCAGGGACACCCCATCACTGCTGAAGCACTGGCAGCTCTGAGCAGGCAGTGTCTGTGGGTCATCCTACAGGAACTCTCAACTTCTCACAGGGTGGGCAGAAATGTCTTCACACGCAAACGCACCACAAAAGGAAAGATCCTGCCGAACTTGTCCCCTCCCTGTGAGGCTGTGTCTCCAGGCCCATGATGGGATGGTCTGGCTGCAGCCTAGCTCCTCAACAAGGCAAGAAAAACCTACCTCCCAGTTGAGAATAAAATTTTTAAATCATCAGCTGTTGCTGCCTTTTCTTAGAGTCCGTCCTTGCTACACCTTCTGTCTCCAAAGATGCCCCTGCTGAGGTGAGGCCTCACCACTGCCCTTCTGCAGGGACATCTGCATCACTCCCTGATCCCACCCATCTGCCTCCCTGGGCTCATTCCCCACCTCATCTAAACCCAAACTTCCACCCTGTGTCATCATTCCCCACCTGCCTGATGGTGGCAGGGCCAGCAGCAGCATCCTGAATTCAGCTCACTTCCTTGCAGTGCCTTCATATCCATTCCCACCAGACCCTTTCCAGTACTGGGAATCCAAGCTCTGTTGGGGTGGGCAATGGAGGCAGCATTATCAGTAGATTTGAAATGCTAATTAACTTTGTGCTGTATGGCACCTCAAGTAAAATGTGCACAAGTTAAAGATCCCATCCCATCCCGTCCCATCCTATCCCCCTGGGTTACATTCAGGGATTTTCCCCTTCTCTACCATTGCATTTTGCCAGTGCCTCTCTATTTGCATCTGTGGACACCTGCCAAACTTAGTCAGCTCTTTTGACACAAAGCTTTTGGCAGGTCCGTGGGTGAAGAGAAAGCCTCTTGCAGAAGTGCTACAAAAATACCCCAGCCCCAGGGATGACAGCACTGGGGCTGCACAGTCCATTAAGCCTGGCCCAGCTCTAGCAAAGCTGCAGCATGGTGCCATGAAGTGGGGGGAAACCTGGCACCACCCTGGGATCTCTAACAAGGTGGCTTGTCCCTGCCAAACATCACAGAAAGGCAGCAGCTGGCATCAGGCCAAAAGAACAGAGTGTGGCATCCAGGACAACAGCAAAAGAATCCCCAGGGGAAATGTCTCTGAGTACCTGTGGATAGGCCATGTGTCTGGGACTGAAAAAGACAAAAAGGAGGAGGGACGTGTAAGGAGAGGGATGTTTTCCACTCAGCCCAGCTTTTGAGGTTATCTAGATGAGAGAGAGATGTGCTGAGCACAGGGTGCCAGGATGTGCCTAGCAGTGGGCATTGAGAGGTGCCACCCCAAAGGGGCACTCCCCCACCCCCAGTTTGCACACTACAGCCCTGTTTCCATGCCCTGCCCCAAACACCGCTGTCTTGAACACAGCAGGTATTGATTCAGCTGAGTCCCACCTGAATTTTCCTAGCCATATGCCTGCTCCAGGCATCACAGCAAAGGCATGGCTCAGGAAGACAGGGACAGTGAATGCTGCATTTTTCACATGAAAGGTCCTTTAGAGCAGCAAATACGAGGAAGAAGTGTGAATACAATGCTGCTTATCACACTCTGTGTGTTTAGCAAACACACTCCCTGGGACCTCAGTAGCACTGCTGCAGTTACTTCTTCCTCTCTCACAAAAGTAAAAGCAAAAGTGTCAAAATCAGTAGCTGACATCCAGAGGAGGCTGGAGAAATGTTACTGCTTCTAAAATGAATAAACTTTCCCTTCTGTGCAGCGCTGCAGCATCCTCATCAGGCAGTGGCAGCAGCAAAGCAGGGAGGGGGTGAATGTTGAAATAGGTGGCAGTTTCCAGCCTTTGTGCATGGGAGGCAGTTTCCCAAAGAAGGTATTGATGCTTTCCAGGCTACTATAGGGCCTTATGTGTCCCCACCCCTCTGCCCAGCCGTGCTTATTCCTGCGTTCCTCCAGCCCTGACCAGGTCATTAAGACCTGCTCACCTCCCTGTCCCGGGCACCCTGACCTCAAGACATTCATCTCACAGCTGCCATCCTGGTGCTGGTGGGCTCCAGTTACAGCCCTATAAAGGGTGCTGGGCTCCACAGACAGGAGGAGCTCTTAGCAGCTTGCAGCCATGGGGAGAAGTGCTTTTGCCCTGGTGCTCGCCCTTGCCCTGGCAGCGTGTGTTGCCCCCGTGGAGAGGAAGGTATGGCGACAGATGACAGAGGGGATGTGGGGCTGATATCCTGCTAGACCCCAAAGTCTGCTGCTGGGGCATCATACCTCAGCAGGGAGCCCGGGCTGGGCTGCTGGAGCTGGTGGGAACAGCACTGTGCTGCTCTGAGGGAAGCTGCAATGAGGCTGGGAGGAAGGTGCTGCTCCTACAAGGATGCTTCTTGCTGCAGGAAGTCACTCAGAGGAAGGCAAACAGAGCCATATCCCAGACAGCTCCTGTTTCCCCCTCTCCAGAGTGTAGGGAAAGCAGCACACCTGCAGCTCCAGCATTGGGGGACTCACTCTCCCTTGGGTGGGTGAAACCATCCTGGAGAACAGCTGAGCTGAATGCAATCATAGCTCAGGCACAATGTTCACACTGAGATGGTGATGCCAGTGGCACATCAGGTACCATGGCACACCACCCACTGCTGCAGACATCTCTGGGCAGAGCCAGGGTGAAGGAGTGGGAGCAGGATGCTCCCCCCTCTGCCTCCCTCCAACCCACAGCACTGGCCTTGCAGTGCCTTCTCTCCGGGTCGTGGCGGAGCGACACCAGCTGCCAGATGGTTGTGTCCACCCTGGACAAGGACAACAGATTCTCCGGTTTTTACCTGCCAGGACCTGCTGCTGGCTACTCAGAACTCTTCACCTTACCACTGGAGGGGTCCCAGCAAGATACAGGGCTGGTCTCACAGCCCATTTTCTTCTTCACTGTGAGCTGGAGGCTCCAAGGTAGGCAGCACAGGGCCATCATCCTGCAGGTGGGAATGCCAGCAGGACACAGGGTGACCTTGTGCCTCACTACCTGACTCACATCAACTTAAACCCTTCCAGACTCTGAGATTGCCCGGACAAGTGTCTTCCTGGGCCAGTGCTATGTGGACACCAAGGGAGAGGAGACCCTGCATGCCCTGTGGCTCCTGCGAGAGGCAGCTGACAGTCCTGCAGAGGACTGGAAAGCCACCCGGTGAGTGCTGGGTCCCAGCCACTGCTCTGCCAGAATTTTCTGCAACTCAGGCTGGAGAAGGGAGAAATCCCACAGGGTGAAGCATGGGAGGACTGTGAGGGTGGAATGGTTTGCACCAGTGATATGCAAGGGTTATGGAGCATCCGTGTAGCATGGTCCATGCCTGCATGCCAGATGTGCCTCAGGATGGGGGATCCCTGGATGGGCTCTGGCCACAGAAAGCCCTCTCCAGGGCTTTCTTTCCACTCTCCACAGCAGGGAGAGGAGGAAAAGATGCCAGCACCTGGCACAGCCTCTGCTACAGGCTTTTGGAACCGGTAGTACCTCAATCAGCCACACAGTGCTCCCCCTGGGTTTTCCCTCTACCCTCCAAAGCATGCATGACCCCATCTGATTTGGTGTTTTCTGCAGGATTGGCACCAGCACCTTCACACGGATAAAATAACAGCAAGTGGGAAAATCCAGCAGGCTCAGGATGGCAAGGAGTGCCTAGGCAGACTTTGCTCGCACCAACATGCTCACTTGAGGTGCAACCTCAACCCAGAGGTTCATGCTTTCTTAGGCAAGTTCACCAAATAAAGGGTTTCTGTGGGAATTCAGGCTTGGCTCTGTCCTCTGCCCTGCCTCAGACTTGTGGGGTTTGTCTCACCGAGCAGCCACCCTCCCACAGGGAGGTTTCATGCTGCACTGAGACTGAAAAAGACAAGGCTGAGGCCAGCAGAGTCCCTGGGGATGGCGACTGCCCCAGCTCCCCTCCCTGGCAGTGTAAGCAGCACTGTGCCTGCAAACCTGAAGCTCGGCTCTGGGTAACAAGTCCCTAGGGGTCACTCCCAGATGTCCCTAGAGGTGGGGGACAAACCGGGCTGTGGCCAGGCAGAAGGATAAGGCGCAGCCAGTACTGCAGAGCCTTCCCTGAGGGAGCCGAGCACAGGAAGCTCCCGGGTGCCCGAATGCCCGGGGTGTTGCAAACGCCTCTTGCAGAGCCGCCAGCCTCCGGTTCCCAGCCCCGGCGGATGTGCAGCTGTGCCTGGCTGCCAGCTGCCCTCCCATCCCAGGCCAAAAAAGCTCCCAAATACCCCGCACCAAGAGTCCCTTCGGCACAGCTGTGTCCCAGGAGTAATGCATTGGGGTGTGTCTCCAGCCAAGATGTCCAGACGTGGCCAAGGGAAGAGAACAGGGGAAGGGCACATCTGGCACTGGCTGGACTTTTTTAGGCGTCACAGCCCGACCTCTCTGCCTTCTGCTTTAGAAACTTCGCCAAACACTAGCACTGGGGGTTCAGCAGGCCCACGGCTGAGGTACCCAGCTCTGAGAGCTGGAAGGAGGCAGTGGCTCCATCACTGTATTTCCAGCTGCTTTTTAAACCAGTTTTCAGATTTCTGTTAGTTTTTCAGTTTCCACCAATATCCAGCAGCTGGTGCTAGTGGATAAAAATAGGATGGATGATGACACAGGATTTAGATTTCCCTTGAAAAGGTGGATACAATCTTGTTTCTGCTACTGACTGAATTTTCCATCTCTCTGAGAAACTCTAATTCATTTTTTTTAAAAGGGCAAACCTGATTTCTTTAAAGCCATGATCACGAAGCGTTTTGCATTGATTACACAGCCCAGGACTTCCTTAGCAATAGAAAGCAAATTTCATTTTATGTTTTCACAATTTTCAATACATCACTATCATGGAAAGGAGAAGATACTCTAGTACTTGAGGAGTCACCAAGCAAAAAAGATTGTGTTTCCATCTGGGACTTGCCAAGGACAGTCTGGGATATTTTGCCCTGAAAAGCTCATACTTCCAGTCTGCCAACTTAGTCCCACAATGATGACAAAGGCACTTGCTAGGACATCGGGGAGATACAGGTCAGCCTTGGGCATAACAGAGGGAACAAGATGGGGACACAATCTGGGACCATACCACTGACCTAAGGCAGAGTGTGGGGCTGTGTGTGCATGCAAGCAGCACTAGGGCACATGCAGACCATGCTCTGACCCTGTAGCATGCTAGGAAAAAGAACGGGGATCTGCAGCAAAGAGGACCAGGAAGGTGGCAGGAATATCAGCTGGCTCCTGTTCACTGCTTGATAAAATCAAGTCCTCAGCCAAAAAACTCATTATGAAGCCTTTAATTATTGCTGCCCTTTAACCTAAGGCATGAGGTCCAGGCTGAGCTTCATTTCTCTCCCCAGCTCAGAGCTACTTGCTGTGGGACTGACACAAGAGCACAGAAAGCAATGAAAAATAGCAGACCTGTGTCATTATTAGCTGAGACCATGGAGCAACCCTCCCCAAAACTCCCAGCTCTTGGCTCCCAGACTGCTCTCCCAGAGTTATCTCCCTTCCTGACATCTGACCAAGCAAGCCAGACTGCTACAAAGAGCGATAGTGACCCCATCATACCCAGGCAAACACCAGCTCACGTGGCTGCTCCCAGCTTTGCTGGGAACACCACTCCATAGTACTTCAAATGGCTCATTTGATATTGATTAGTGCTGGGTCAGGGACACTGTGTAACATCTGTGACACTACACACCCTGGCTTGAACTGCAAAAAAATGAAACCAAAGGGGGAACAGGCCATTACACACATCGACCCTGAACTGCAAAAATGAAAGTAGAGTGGGAAGAGGACATTACGTACTTTGGCTTCAAACTGCAAAAAATGAAACTAAAGTATGGAAGGGCATTACACACCCTGGCCTCAAACTGTAGAAAATTAAACTGAAGTGTAGATGGGGTCCTAGACCTTCCTGATGCCGTGCATACCTCCAGTGGTTTCCTGGTGATGCTCAAGGGCTGTCAGTCCTGGCCAGGGTAGAGCTGTGACCCAGCTCTGCTGGGAGCATGCTGCTACCTGTCCTGAGGCAGAGGCCCTGGATGAGCCTCTCCTTGGCTGTCTCCCCTCCGGACACAATGTCATTTCACATCTCGATCGGTTTTGTCCCCTGGGTGGGATGCAAGTGCGAAGCTTCCTGCACCCACTGCTTTGCTGAGCTCCCATGCCCCCACATCCTGCACTGGGCTCTGCAGCCTGAGCTCAGGGTCTGCAGTGCCTCCTGTGGACCCAGTGACCCCAACCAGACCCAGGGACAATCCTGAATTTAGCAACCCCACAGCAGGCAAGGCCCAGCCGGTGGCTGTTGCAGCACCCTGGCTCTGCTCCACTTCCTGCGATTGTGCAGCTCCCATTACGAAAGCAGCGGCGGGGGCTGACACCGGCTCCTCGCGCTTCCTCCGGGGGAAGCTGCTCGCTTCCGCAGCGTGGGGGCTTGCGTGCGCCTGGTGGGTGCTGGCCGCAATCTTTGCTCCTTGAAGCAGGGTGAGAGCAAAGCAGCAGCCCTGCAAACCCGCGCTGTGCCTCAACAAGCCCCTGTGCAAAGGCACAGCCAGGCAGATTGCCCCTGCAACCATCCGAGAGGGATTGCCCCCGAGCCTCCCCTGGGTTTCTCCCACAAGGCTCCCACTGCAGGTACTGCCCCCAGCAGCCCAGCACCTCGCCAAAACAACCAGAGAGGACACAATCACACACCATTAATGTTTATTTAGACTCTATTAATAAGGAAGCTATTCATTATTATTCTGATGCAATTTGAAGCTATCCCTGCTCATTGCAGGGAGAACTGGACTAGATGACCTTAGATGCCCCTTCCAATCCAAACCATTCTATATGACTCTATGGAATAATGTCCTGCAGTAGGATGAGATCTCTACAGGTGCCACTAATGGCAAAGACACTGCTCACCAGCTCAAAGTGTTTCTGTTCAACCCACAACCATTGACTGCATCACCAGCCAGCACAGCAAGGCTTGGGCACACAAGGACATGGCTTTGAAACCGTCCTGTGGCCAGGAAAGCCTTCAGAAGAGCAAGCAGCTCTGCTGCTCTCTGAACATGCTGCCTCAGCAGTCTGGCTCAAGGCATGCCTGCTCCCTGAAGCCCAAAAGCCTACGGGAGATGAAAGGCTCAGCCCTTAGAGTAGGCAAACAGCACACACAGCTCAGGAAGGACTCCACATTACCTTCTCTAGCCAGGCTGGGAGCTGTGGCCATGGCTCAAAAGCTAGCAGGAACAGGCGACATGCTGGGTCTGTCGCAGCAGCAGGTAGAACTACTCCTGTGAGAGCAATGGAGGTCAAATTGCTCCCTCACACCTAGAAATCAGGCAGCACTGCAGGATTACGGGGCACTGATATGGAACATGTGTTTGGGGCCACAACACAGAGTAAGAACTGCCTGTTCATCTCCAGCTGGGCAGTGAAGAAGCAGGGCAGTGGCCTGCATTGCTAGTGCATCCAGTCAGAGCAAGCACTGCCACCTCAGACTGACTCCCTGCTACAGCCCATCCCCAAAAGCCACCAGGTGCACTCTGGTAGCCACATCAGCAGCCATAGTGAAGTTCTCAGAATTTCCTGTCCCATCTCAGATGGAGTCTGATAAAAAATGTCAGATCGATTCCTCCCTGGTAAACCCTCCGTGTTGCTGGCAATGAGGAGAGTATTCAGAAGAAACTGCTTGGATAGATAATCTGCTAGTGCAACTCTGTCCCTGCTCCACAGGATGCCCAGCATCATCCCTAGGAGCAGGATGCAGCACTGGTCACATCTCATTGGCATGGTGCTGTTGAATGAGAACTCTGTCAGGGTGTTCTACCCACTCCTGACCCTTGGATTTCCATGGCACCAGCACTGCTGCCGGCAAAGGGTCACTCTGAGGCGGGCCTGGCTTGGAGCCTGCTGCTGCCGGAGGGTCAGAGGATGAGTTGCTGTTGAAAGATCTGGGACTAGAGTTAAATGGACTCTGCCCCTCTTCCCATGACTGACTGAGGTTGCCCGACAGCAAGGAGTCTCCAGGCTCTGGGCTGAAGCCCTCCAGCTCAGTGTCGTGCTGCACATCAGGTGCTCCTTGGTTAGGAATCTCGCGGATCTGCCGTGACAGCACTGTAAGAGAGGTAGAGTCAACCGTGTCATTTCCAGCCTCCCACCCTCCTGTGCTGAGCATGGAGCCACCACAGAGCCCAGGAGAGAGGACAAACTGTTTAACCAGGACTTCCTCTTCCCATGGGACGCGGGGAGAGGGTGCTGCACAGCTGCCAGGCACAAGCACAGTTTGTGCTCCAAGAGGGACCGGAACTCTCCTGTCCTTGCACCGCCCCTGGCACAGGGCCCTGCTTCCAGGCAGGCCTCTGCAACAAGGCTGATGAAGAGTTCAGAGCTGGGGCAAGACAGCAAGACAAAGCTAGTGGTCACCCCAGGCAAGGGCATGATGAGTTGGAAGTGCCCCAGAGTTCAGGCTGTCTCTGGGGAGGATGCTGTGCTCTGAAGGGCAGCACTTCACCTGGAGACACACCTCAGCCCCAACCTGGGCACTCACCCTTGAGCTCCCGCTGTGGCTCTACGCTCCCGGGTAAGCGGATGCTGGGGGACAGAATGAGGCAGAAGGACAGAACCACGATCTGGAAACAGAAAGATCAGCACGATCTCAGCAAAGGAGATGGACAGGCATCACTAAATGCAATAACTGCCTCTCTCCCAAACTTGTGAGGACAGCAGGGACTCCACACACACTGGGGCTGAAGCCACCTACCATGGTGCAGGTTTTTCTTCTGGTAGTTTTGGGGGCGGACCGTCCCACCAAGGCCTGCAGTTTCTGCAACTGCCTGAGCAGTGACCTGCAGTAGAGCAGCAAATGCAGGTTAGCATGGCAGGTGGACCTACAGCTGCATACTTTCCTCCACCCTCTGCAGCCAGGGACAGGCCACAGTCCTGAGAACAGGAACAGCCTTCCCCACCACTTCTCCTGCCAAACCCAACAAGACAAACTCACATGTTCTGCTTCTGCAGCTGCTGCACCTTCTTCTCCAGTTCATGATTTTCAGCTGTGCAGGCTGCCACCCTTCCCAGGAAGGATGAGAGGTGTGGGGGAAAAACAGAGAGATTTTGTTGGTCAACAGTGGAGACTTCACATCAGTCACCACCTCTGGGTGGCTGGGGCAGACAAAACTGGTCCTGGGGTCCAGCTGGTATCATGTGCAGCAAAGCCCAGAGAGCACTACCTCATACCAGATATGGGGAGGAGTGAAGCCCTGCCAGTCCTGCAGAGAAGCAGCTGATTAACCCCCATGGATGCTCACTCCTAGCAGCAGACCAGCCCTGCAGATCTGTAACATCAGGCTGTATTACTAACTAGCCTGACCTGGAAAACACATTTGTCCTGGCAGGTCACCTATGTGGCTTGAGCAGAGCAAGCTCTGGGCCATCTCCAAGCACAAGAGCACCAGACAGGCTGCACCCCGATGTTCTGAACCCTCTGCAGGGAGCTCTTGCCCCGCAGGGCCAGCCTCAGTTTTTGCTCAGAGTGACAGGAACCCAGCAGCCAAACACCACAGCAGCTTGTGACAGGCACCCCCTGATCCTGGACCTGGCAATGTGTGTCACAACTAAGGCCATGCAGGTAGGCAGCAGCCATTCCATGGCCCACCAAGTCATGTATTCATTCCCTTCCCCTTGTTATCAGGCACTGAAGATCCTGTGTACCAAGTACCAAAACAAACAGATTTCTTCTTCCTCTCCCTGCCAGCCTGAAAGTCCCTGGGCACCAGGCCCTTCCCTTACCAGTCTTGAAGGTTGCAGGCACACAGCCAGCTCTGTATTGCTGACAGCCCTATCACAGAGCAGGGAAGCACAACAGCACAGAGTGCACTATCCACAAAATCAAGCAATAAGAAAGTCCTAAGGGCACCTTGGGAGTAGAATTTCTGCTGGACAGCTCAGGACCCCTCTGCTCAGGAACACATCTACCATTGCCTGCTTCCTCCCATGATTGAGGGTGAGACTTGTATTGTTTGTATCATTTTTAAATCTATGTTATGATCATTATATTAATACACAGAACTATCTATCAAGATCTGATGCAATCTGCAGAGGGCCTGGGTGACTAGAAATTCTAAGTTAAGATGTATTAGAATGCAGGTGATTAGAAATTTTAAGTTAAGTGGCAGACCCCTTATCACAATGGTTATAGACTGTACTACATTGATTCTGCTTGCAGAAAAACTGTGCCACTCTAATCACAGATCTTCTGCTATACTAATGATAACATGATAGGAAAATGAGGTTCTGACTGAAATGACAATTTAGTGCCACCATCATTTTGCCAAGGATCCCTAAAAGAACACATGGGTCCCCTCAGTGTTGGATGACACTGCTGTGTGACCATACCTGTTTTCCAGGCCATCCACATAGATCTTCCTCCGGCGACGACTATCCTGAGCTGCCTGCTTGTTCCGAATCTTACGACGCACTTTCCTCAGAACTCGCTCCTCAGCCTGCAAGGATCATCTCGTTAACAGCAATCCCAGGGTGTTGGCAATCCTCCCCTCTCAGACTGCCCTCACATATCAGTGCCCAGCCCTAATGCTTGTGTTCTCTGTCCTTCCCACACCACTGAATAAACTGCAAGGCAAACCCTGGCCTGTTGATGCAGCCAGCAGCTTCCATGACTTAGCAAAAGTAAGGCGTACCTAAGGAAAATGAAAAGCACACAGACCACAAGCCATTAGGCAAGCAGGAAAAAATAGCTGCAGGCGCTTGTGGTGTAACTGCCTCCTGCCAACAGCCATGATTAGGGAGACTGACAGAAGGTGCTGTGCACATGGATGACGCCCTGCACTCAAAAAAAGGAAAAGGACACCAAGCCCAGATGAACACTGCCCTGAATGCAGCACTGGACAACAATATTTTCATCAAGGCACTGTCCTGCAGTTTCAAACCCCTACACTACCTGATACATTCGAGTGGTCTGTTTGGTTCTAGTGAGGACTCACTTTGGTCAGTGGCAGACAGGTTGGTAATGTAACACCTTCTTTCTCCAGAAGCTGCTTCTCCTCCTCTGTCAGGACCAGCTCTGGGAAGTCAGACTAGAAAACAGCAAAAATAAGCCTACTGAAAATGCATAATGCAGGGAGTCCACCCTGGGCAGCGAGGGCATGCAGCAAGCACAAAGAACTGGAATCAGCTCTCCCAATGTAATGTCATGCTTTCCCTCAGAGATACCCCTCACAGGAGCCAAGTCAGAAGGGAAGGAGAGATGTGAAAAGCAAAGGCTGGGGTCCACAGGCATGGGAGTCAGTACCTGTACCATGGCTCCAGGCACAAGCTGGGGTTCATCTTCCACAGCAACAGCAATGGGGGAAGTGGTGCTCTGTTCCAGTGCCTCGCTTGTGCATTCCAAACCCACCCATGCCCCTGGGGAAGGAAAGACGAGTCAAATGCTGGGCCTCACTGAGGCAGCATCTGACCAGCCAGCTCTGAGTGGCATGAAATAGCAATTTTACAACAGCAGAAAGCTTCTACTCTTCGCTCTCTCCATCTTTGCCTGACACCCACCAAAACAAACCAGTATGGAACTGCTTTTCTCTTTTCTGCCTGCTGCCAGGTCAGAAAGAGTCCATACACATCACTCACCTAGCTCAATGGTAACATCTCCTTCTGTCATGTCAGACCTCACACTTTCCAGTGCAGGCCAGTCCTGGTGAAGGGAGTAGTTATGATCAACCTGCACAATGTCTCGGCTGGCAAAATTGCTACCAAGGCAATGGGACACGTGCTGATCCTCAGAAAGGCTGCTGTCATTGTTGGCAGGCAAATAACTGAGCCTGTCTGGTTCATCTTCTAAAGGGCTCAGCAGCGAGCTGATGAAGTCATCCATCTCCTTGTCCAGGAGCTGCAGAAGAACAGCTTTTACTCAGCACGGAGACAAACCTCCTAAACCTCATCTCAGCAGCAATTCCTCACAAAGAACTCACCTCAGGCATTGGCAGGCCCCAGTCTTCCAGCAGACCATTCTGCTCCCCTGGGATTTCAGGGCAGGGAGCATCATCCTTCAGAAGAAAGTCAAGCAGATCCACATCTGCCAGGGCATCCAGTTCCTCTGGGCACGACATCTGAGCACAACACCCAAAGTGAGACAGGCACAATGGGAGACAACAGCCTTGCTTTAAGGTGTCCCTCAGACCCTACAGATAAAGTATCCCCATGGAATGTCAACAGCAGGGATGGCCAGTTCACAAGTACTTCTCCAGCCAGATTATTATAGCACCACCAGTGACAACAATACAGTATTTTCCTCACAAGGTTATTGGGACTCAGCCACAAGAGCCACACTCCACCCAGAGCATAAAAGCTCTGGAGAGGAAAAGTGAAACAATCCCAGACTTAATGGTGTGGAGAGCATGCAAGATTCTGCTGTTCCACAGAAGCCTGAAGGTGCCATACCCCCTGGTGTGCAGCCAGCAGGGAGAGCTTCCTGTCCCACAAAAATTAAGAACAGTTGTTGTTGAGGTTTTAACTAAAGGGATTCTGTCAATAATTAAATTATGATCAAAGTCTAAGTAATCGATGACTGAACAAAAATTAAATGGCAATCAAATGGTGAATAAGTGATCATTGAAGAGTAATTAATGAGTGATTTCACAGACCTAAATGATGACTTAGCAATTCAGACAGCTGTTAAACACTGTGTTATTTAACACACTTGTAATAAGTAAGTGGATATTGTAATAAATAAATAGATGGATATATATAATATACACAATATACTTTTAGGCTGAAAGTAAAACACTCCTTACCTCGCTGTAGAGATCAGACACTGGTAAAGAGTCTCTCAGCCCTGAGGAGTGACCTGGAGAGCTGTTCCTGCTGCCAGGGACGTCAGGGCCGGGCAGCAGGAGAGCAGCAGGGCTCAGTGGCTGGAGGCGGCCACAGGTTCTCGGAGGGCAGGGTGAGGGACTCGCAGCCAGACGCTGCCTGGCGCTTGTGCACCTGCGTGGCTGTGGCAGCTTCAGCTGTGCCTGGCCCCAGCTCGGGCCGCTGCTGCTATGTCCTGACAAGACATGGCCCAGGAGCCCCGGTGCCTGAGGAGATGCGGCCTCGCATGGCTCCCAGCGGGATCAGCCCGGCCGGCTCGTGGGCGATGCCTGAGCCAAGGCACTGCTCAGGCTGTCAGAGCGCAGGCATCCATGGCACCTCTCCATCAGCACTGCTTCACATCTAGCTGTCAAGTGCCACGGTCTGAAAAACAAAAAAAATCCCAGAAAAAATAGAGTATCGCCAAAACCACCTGAAACCCCACCCAAAACCAGAGGGTCAGGGCAGTCCCCAGACAGGGCTGCTGCGCCAGCTGACTGAGGGCAGAGCTGTCAGCAGAAATTTCAGCAACAAGAGGAAGAGGAGCTGGGCAAACCCGGGCAATCTCAGGGTCCATGGTTTCCACAGACTCGGAGCAGTTTTCCCCCAGGGAGCGTGCGCCGGGCAGGCAGCACGGGCAGGACAGGAACAGGAGGAGCAGGTGCGGCAGAAGGAAGAGTAACCGGAGCGCAGGGGCCGGGACACCCACCCGAGGAGAACCAAGCAGCCCGTCTCAGCCCCGGCCGCGGGCCGGACCCCGGATCCCCTGATGCCCGGGCCTCCTGGACCCTCCCAGCAGCGGAGCCCCGACCCCGCTCGAGCCCGGCGCCCTCCGCTCCCTCACCTCAGCCCCGCCGCTCCCAACGCACCACGTGACGTCACCCAGCCTCCCGGCGGGCCGCGCGCGCACCACCCCTGCCCCTCCCGCGCTGACGCCCCGGTCGCCCATTGGTTGGTTGGTTGACCGGGGGCGCGCGTGGGCGGCGGGAGCGCGCGCGGGCGGCGGGAGCGCGGGGCGGGCGGGGAAAGGAGGGGAGGGGATGGGACAGACGGGTAGAGGGGAGGGCGGTGGGTCCGGGGTCATGCGGGGCCCCGGGGGTGTCTCGGGGCGGGTGGGCGCCTGGAGGTGCGGTGTGAGCAGCGGGTGGAGCACGACCACGCTGCGCGGGCGCGGAACGGTGCCCAGCCCCGGGGCGTCGGGCCGGGCCGCGCGGGCACAGAGTAGCGCTGTCCGTGGAAACGGGATGCCCGTGGCGCGGTGTCCGGGTGGAGCGCAGCCCGGGGTACCGTGCGGGGCCGTGTCGTGTCGCCCGGCGGCGCGCCGTGTTCCGGCGCATGCGCGGCGGGGGGGTGGGGGGGGCGGGAAGCGGGCGGTGCCGCCCGCTCAGCTCCCCTCAGCGTCGCGGGGCCGCCGCGCTGCTCCTGCCCGCGCAAAGGTACGGGGACGGGGGACAGAGGACACATGGTGTCCCGGTAACCGGGGAGGGGGGGCTGCAGAGTGGGGTCCTGCGGACCGGCAGCGCCCTGGCTCTCGGGGGGCTGCCGGAAACGGATGTTCCGGGGACCCTGCCCTGCACCCCGCCCGGTAAATGGCGGGGAGGCAGGGAGGAAGCAGCTTTCCGGTTACCGGGGTTTCCCTGCTCCAACCGGGGCTTGTCCGCGGGGCTGCGGTGGCCCGAGGGCTTCCGGGGTTCACTCAGACTTTGGGGCATGCCCAGATCGCCGCTGGGGCCGGCGCCACCCAAGCACGGACGCCCACCGGAGGCTCCGGGGCTGGCGCGGCCACGTTATCTCCGGCCACGTTATCCCCGGCCCTGCCCTTGCCCTGCCTCACCAGGCTCGGGCCTGGAGTCCCCCGTGGCGAGGCCTGGACCAGCATCCTCACTTCGGGGATCCCGTGGGACCGAGGTGGACGAGCCTGGGCGTGAGGTGACCTTTGGGGCAGGCCAGGCGCAGCTTTTCCCCCGGCACCCCACTCACCCTGCCGGGACGCGTGGAAAAGCGAGTGGCAAGGGTGTCTGTGTCCTGCTGTGTGGTTTTGGGTGGGGACATGAGGGCACGGTGCTTCCCATGGCCACACCGAAGCCAGGGAGGTCACTGCAACAGTTCCCACCGGGACACCCAGCTGGCCATAGGCCCCGGGATGGGCGCTGGGGTGGTTCCCATGCAGGGTGGGACTGGCCCCAGTCGGGGAAGGCGTGGGTCCCCACCATGTCCCCACCGAAGTAACTAACTAAGCAGGGATAAGCGCTGTCCCATCCTCTGCCTATTCCCTGCCGGATCCTGCCCCAGCCCCTGCAAATTCCCCATCCCTTTGAATCTGCCGGCAGGATGTCTACATGCTTCTGCCGTGGCTTCATCGCTGGCTGTTAGACCCATATTTGGTAGCAATAATTGTTTACTCCCTTCTCTCTGAGCCTCGCTGCTGAGAAGGGGAGGGCACATATTTTTGGGATCTTTAGTTTTTTCAAAACCTGTGAGTTGCCCAGTAAAGGGTCCAGACCACCTGTCTGTCCCTGGGTCATAGGGTGAAAGTGTCCAAGTGCTAAGTGAATCTGTGATGGTGCATGGAAAGCACCAGCCAGGCACTCCATTTCCTTGCTGAATGGCAGAGGCAGGAATCTGGTGCTTCCCAAAATGACAGATCCCATTAGATTTAGAGAAGGGAGAGTGGGAATGCTGAGGAAAGGGGAAGAGGGTCCTGTGGGATGCCCTTCTTTTCAGTACTGAACTTTGCTGGCTGCTGGGGGAAATGACCCCAAAATGCAGCCATGCTCTCTTCTTTCACCGTTCTGCCTGTCCAGCAGCACAGTGCTGGGCAAGTTGCTTGTTGTGGGAAGCATGGATGCCTGGATCAGGGCACCCAGTGCTTTCCAGAGGTCATGACAGCATGTAGAGTGCACCTCAACCCCTGCTTTTGGGGTCCTGCGCTAGGGCCAGCTTGCTAAGGATGCAGGAGAGACTGCGGCTGGAGTCCCACTGGTCCCCATGCCTGCCTTCGTCATGGGCAGTCTAGAGGTGCCGTGATTGTGCTCCATTCCTTGGGAGGTCAAGGGATGCCAAGCAGGAGCAGACAGGATGTGAGATGTGTGCGAAATGTTGGCAGTCAATAGCTGGAGCTGCTTCAGCGCAGTGCATGTGAGCGGGCTGCGGCTGCGATCCTCCAGCCCAGCTGCCTGGCCCCTGCCCATTTCCCATGCAGAGCAGGGCTCTCCCCCTGCAGGAGTGAGAGGATGCTGCTGTCCTAGCCATGGGTAACAGCAGAGTGGTCACAGGGGTGCTGGGTCTGGCCTTGACAGCCACTCATGCTCCCCAGGAGCAAGCTCAGCCTCGGCTGGAAGAAACTGTCCTCCCATCTGACGTGGACATGCAGCTGGGAAAGAGGAACTGGGCTGAACAGTCTCAGCAGCGTGTGACACTAAACCAGCTGGGGCTGCTGGCTCAGCCTTCCCATTGGTGCAGGGCTGAGCCCTGTTACCTCAGTGCCTACTGTGGCTGTGTATACTGCTCCTGCGCTGGAGAACGCAGGAGAGCCCAGCCAGAGCCTAGTCTGGCTTCTTACCAGCTTAATTTTTGACCCTGTTGATGGTGGTGGAGTGCAGATGCTGACGTGCTGGCCAAGCCACTGCTGCAGACATTGCGTTTTGGTGACCTGGTATCTTCCTAGCTGTTCCAGTGGCTGTACTGACTGGGCTGTGCCTGTGGAAAACCCCAGCACTGGGATGGTTTGCAGCTGATGAAGCTTCCTGCAGCCAGCTCCTGGTCCAGGCGTGGTCTGCAGTGGGGCCTTTCCCAGGTGAAATAAAAAAAGAAGGAAAAAACCAAACCCCATTACAAAACCTCTTTTGGAGTATCCCTCAAGAGAGAAAGCAATAAAAATGGCAGAACTGTTGCATCTGAAGATTTGCAGCTTATTCTGGAAACTCATCACAAGTGTTCCAGCTGTCCGCAGTTGAATTTTGCTTGATTTTTTTTTTTTTGTCTTTTAAGACACAAACCCTTCCATGTAACTGTTACTGCAGCAGTGACAAAAACACAGTAATTCCATCACGTGACCAAAACCGCGCTGTCAGTGTCCCCGGTGGTTCCTTGGGACACTGGGACACAGTCCCGTCTGCCCGCAGCCCTGCCTGCACTGACCTTGCCCTCAGGCACAGCCTGGAGGCCTCCACCACTGTCGGGGTTTTGCTCACCTTGTGCGGGGTGAGATGGAGGAAGCCACAGCCGCTCCGCTCCTTCCCACAGCGGGAAGTGGTGGGACCCCACCAAGGTTAACCCCTCCCCCTCATCATCTTGGGATTGGCTCAGAAGCATGCCTGTGGTTCAAAACGGGTTGTACACAACTTGCTATAAAATGCAGAAGTGTGTTAATCCGGCTGCTCCGGTGCCTTATCTGACTTTGCATACTGACAATGTGATTGAGAATAGGTTTGACTGAGAATGGGTTTGCTTTCTCTGGAGATGAGCCAGCAAAAATTTGGTGTGTGTTCATCAAGACTTGGTTTGTTTGGGCTTTTTGTTTTTCTTCTTTCTAGGGGGACAGCTTGAGTTTCACTGTCCTTTTTTTTTCTGGTTTGCAGTGCCAGGCTCCCACGCTGTCTCATTTGTTACATTTAGTCCAGCTTTTCTCTCTCCACATGGTTTGCAGAGGGGAGAGGTCTGTAGGGGCCAAGCCCTGCGTTGATGCCCTTGCACCAGGCAGCAGATTTGCAAACCTTGTGTAATTAATTGCCACATTTTGCTGACAAATCTCTCCCCAGTTTGAGGAGGTCTCCTTTTGCAGCAGAGAATGTTTCTGCTCTGGACACTGCTGTCAGCAAAATTCATCTGCTAGAACCTTGACTTTTTCCAGAGAATATGGGAATTGAAGTGAACCATCTCCATTTTCTCTGAGGTTTTCCTTGATGTCATCAGCATCTTCCCTCCTGAGCTCTGTAATTTTTTTAAGTGTTGGGGAGTGGGAAGGCTTGAGCAGTCATCCTCTGGTGGGGTCTTGGGAAGCAATATGACCCCTGTGACGGGTGTGCTAAGGGGTGCCTCTGGTGCAGTGCCTGGTTTTGGGTGGCTTTGTGAGGGCAAGAAGAGGATGCAGAACTAGTGGCAGATGTCCTGGCTCCTCTCAGTTCCTCTCTACTGTCCAGCATCCTCCACTCCTTCCTCCATGGTCTCTGACCTTGTCTTGTCAGTGGCATGTTCTCCTTTTCCTGCAGAGGGATGGAAAGCAGCTTTATGCTCAACTTTATATGAGTATATTTTTAGATGTAGAGAAGTTGGCCTGGTGACCGCAGCAGCCCGCCCTGCATATAAAATACTTGGAAAACCCTTTCCATGACAGGGTGTTCCTCGTTTGTTCAGCTCCACAGCTTTGCTAGTGCTTCCGGATAGATGGCAATGGTACGGGTGGGTGCCTCTGCCACCTCCTTTCCTCCGCCGATGGGCTCCCTCGCTCCGGAGCTGAAGTGCATTTCATTCCTCAGCAGCGGAGACAGTGGGGGCCACGGGCCTCCGCAGAAACATTGCAGAACGGCTCAGGAATGCAGAGCTGGAGCCGCTCCATGTGCTGGCGGAGGCGGCACGCTCCTTCGTCCCTGCCTCCCACCCTGCACCACCAGCGTGGCTTTATGGCTGTGCAGGAGCAGGGCCCCTGCCCTCTGACTTGCTCCTGGCCAAAACTGGACATGGGTCCTGCCCCTAGGCTGCTCAGGTCTGTGTTTGAGAGCAGCCTGCTGCTGGTGTTCCCCCTCCCAGGGGGACTGGAGCTGGCAGCACTAGGCAGGGATGCACAGGCTCACCAAGTGCTGCTGCACTTCAAGGAAGGCTGCCAGCACATTTTGCCCAAGAACCTTCCCAGGCCAGGCTGAGGATGCAAGATCAGCTTTCCCTGACAGCCATAATAGGAAGTCTGGTAGGAGCAAATGAATCTGAAAGAGGATAAGCAGATATGCATCCCACCAGTGCTCTTGCATCCTCCCATCACTGGAGTTTCAGGACAAGGCAGCCTGGGTCAGCAGAACAGGGGACTCACTCTGTATGAGCAGACACTCAGGGAGGGGAAAAGGCATGTCACTGCTGGAGAGCATCGGGCTGGGGCCAGACAGGGACAGGGAATTCTGAGAAGGGCATGAAGCAATGCGGCGGGAGCAAAGGACTTGGGAGGGACCCTGAGGCCTTTAGCAACCTGGGAAGGCACTGAAAGCTGTTTCACAGTGGGTAGATCTGAAGGGAAGGGCTCTTACAAGCTGCATCAGGCAAGTGGGGCACTTACATATGACCTCCTTCTGGTACTTCTTTCAGCTTTTACTCTGCAATACAGATATTGCAGTTCTGATTTGATTAGGTGTTACTAAAGCTGGTGTTTTGGAGCTCTGTTGAGGGGCACTTGCTCTGAAGCTGCTCTATGCAGTCCTTTAAGCCTGAGCTCTGCAACTGGCTGGAAGGAGGTTGTAGTGAGATGGGGGCCAGTCTCTTCTGCCGTACCTGCAGTGAGAGGACAAGAGGAAACAGCCTTAAGTTGAGAGAAGGAAGTTTCAGATTAGATATCAGAAAAAAAAAATATCACTGTTAAGGTGATGAGGCATTGGAATAGGTCTCCCAGGGAGGTGGTGGAGTCACCATCCCTGGAGGTATTTATGAGGAATCTGGATCTGGTGCTGGGTGATATGATCTAGTGATGTAGGAGTTACTGTGGTAGTGCTATGTGGGTGGTTGGACTGGGTGATCTTCCAACCCTGATGATTCTATGATTCTGTTATATGAAGCTGATTCTTCAAGGTGGACCCTGCTTGAGTCCTTTTTCAGATGGCATGGAGGGGCTCTTGTATGCCCATGCAGTGAGACCTGTCACAGGTGGTCTCTTGCCTTCCTGTGCATTGTTCTGTGCCCTGGGTTGGTGTGGTATCTGCTGCCATAGACCCTGATCTCATGAGCACACCTTGGGTGTGAGTGGTGCTTTTCCCAGGTAATTGCATTTAATGTGTGAATTCATTGCCTAGTGCCCTTATCTTGCCCTCTCATGCAGCTTCTGGCTTTTCCGTCCCTCTTTGCTCAGGCTGCCAGCTCAGCACCGTCTGCTGGTGACATGAGGGGTCCTGATAGCTGGGGCAGGGCCCTGCCACCTCTGGGTCAAAACTTGGTTTTCCTCTTGTGGCTTCTGTGTCATGGCAGGTTTAATTATAACCCCTTCCATCATGCTCTCATAGCTTATCTAGTGTGCTCCCTCATGCTCACTTCCTCTCCCTGGCAGTATCTCTGGTGGGTACCAGCTGCTGTCATTCCCACAAGGCAAGTAAAATTGGCTTTAGGACCTTAGGACAAGGAGGTGGGGGTCCCAGTGCTGGTCTCAGGCCCCAGGGTCTGGAAGGGGACCTCTCAAAGGCTCGCTGGCACAGGCTGCAGCCCTTGCTTGCCACTGGAAGCTGAATCCTGGCTTTCAGGTGCCGCCAGAGGAGGAGGGAGCAAGCACACTGCATGCTAGTGGGGTCATCAGTCAGAGCTCACCCGTCTGTCTCCTCCAGCAGGTGACGCAGGAGTGGGGACAGCCCAGCCGCCACCATGGTTGCCCTCTCGCTGAAGATCAGCATCGGCAACGTGGTGAAGACGATGCAGTTTGAGCCCTCCACCATGGTGTACGATGCCTGCCGCATGATCCGTGAGCGGGTGCCCGAGGCACAGATAGGACAATGTAAGTCCATGGTGGGACTGGCTGCCCTGCCAGGGCTGCCTTGGCTTAGCTTCTGGCATTTCGTTCGTCTCCCTTTTCTTTTCTGTCTGTGCCTCTCTGGCACTTTCCCAGAGAAGTGGTAGGGTGGGGGAAGCGGAGTCCGAGTCCTCTTGCCCAGCTGATGTGAGGGTCTGAGTTTCTCAGGCTCCCTCCTCAGCACCCCAGAAGAACGTTCGTGTGTTTAGAAGTTAGGAAACCACATTTGGAAGTGAAATAACTCTTTAAGCAATTTGAGTCTGCTGCCCTTTCTGTCTCTGCTCTTCTGTCCTACTTACATTCATCACCACTAGCTAGGGCTACGTGGGTTTAAACAGTTGCAGGGGTCATAGCAAACATTAATAAACCATTTGAGTTAATTTTTCCTTTCTTGGGATATATATATAATCCCCACTGAGTTTGTCTCCCACTGGCAGCTCTCTGCCAGACCCCTGCTGGTGCTCCATTGCCTTTCTAGGCTGCCTCAGCTCCAGTATCTTCTTGCTGCCGCTGGGCTCACAATTTAGGTTGTGGCTCATGGGCTCATGATGTGACTCACACCCACGCGGATGTGGCCTGTCCCCATCACGGATGGGGGGTTGGAGCTCTGGGACGCTGTCTCAGGGGTTCTCCTGAGTCCCTGCAACCCCCAAAAGCAGCTGTGCCATGGAGGAGAGACAGCAAAGTGGAGGTCAGGAGTCGTGGGAAGAGGAGGGGGAGTGCAGCGACATCTGGGAGCAGCACATTCCTTGAGGTTCAAAGGAAATGCCTTCTCACACCATGCCCGGCTGGTCAGCAGTCCAGCAGACTATGGCTTTCAGCTTCAGCAAGGGACTGGATGTTTTTGGATATGCAGGGCTATAGTGGTGTTGGAAGGAGCATTGCATTTCCTGCTCCTGGGTGTGAGCCAGCCTGTTTATAAAAAAAGCACCAAGGGGAAGGCCTTAAAGGGAACTTCTTATTCCTGCGTTCCTTTTCAATTGCTCACAGCCTTTCTTTTCCTATGTGTTCCTAGCAGCTTTTACTTCTCTTTGCTCCCCTTACACACGGGCACTCGGGCTCCTTTTTTGAGCTGCCCTGTTTTTTTTTTACCTTTGGGCTGGGAGAGCTTCAGTGTAAGTTTCCAGCTCTGCTCTTGCTCTGTCTCAGGAAGTGCCTCTCCCCGCCCAACCCATGGATCTGGGGCAAGCTGCTCAGTTTTCAGTGCTTTGGATTTATCCTCTTGGAATTTGCTTTGAAAACAGTTTGGGTTTTTGTTGGTTTTTTTTAACTTCAAAAATAAAATGGCAAGCTTTCATGATTTTTTTGCTCCCTGTTTAGTAGGATCCTAACGGCAGTGTTAGCCAGGCAGGCGCAGGGCGGCTCAGGAATTTGTCCCTCCCCAAAGAGAGCTGCCAACAAGATGACGAGTTGTAAACATAGCCAACCAAGACAGCCTGCGGCGCAGGATTGTTGCAGAGGTGGAGAAGGACCTTTCCAGGGCAAAGTCAGGCGTGGTCCTGGCCTCTTGCTACATAAAAATGGGCCTGTCCCTGTGTGTCTGAGCTGTGGAGCTGCTGCCCTGGCTCCAGCAGCAGCCCTTTCACCAGGTACCCCACCCTGAGGGAGCAGGATTTGGTGAATATTTACTCACCACCTCTGAGACTTTGTAAGCCTTGAGCCCGTTCTCATTCAGTCTCTTCTTCTGCAAAAAAAGGAGTCCCAGCTCCGCCAGTCCCTCACACCAAGGTTCCATCATTCAAGTTGTCCCTCTGTATCTTTTCAAGCTCTACTGTGTCCTGAGGAGATGCAGACCCTACCGCTAGAGAGTACTCAAACTGTGAATTACCTAGTATTTATAGACCAGTTCCCAGCACTCTTCCTGGTGATCCCCAGCATTTTGCTACCTTACTTTCACTACTACTACACATTGCACTGAAGATTTTAGAGAGCTGACAGCCACAACTGCAAGCTCTCCCTTCTGTTGTGTCTGTCAGTTCCAAGTTCAATGTTGCGTAGGCATGCTGCAGATGATTTTTTCCATAGATTACTGTGGTAAAACCTCCAAGCTTGCATGCTAGCTTTGTTTGTTTGTCATTAGGTTTAGGCTTCAGCCTTCACAGAGTTGCTGTGCTTCACACACTGGGTTGCACCAGTGCATGTCCCTGGGCACAGAGTGGCATTGTGGTGGCCCTATGCTTCTCAGGACTACCCTGTTAGAGACTGTACCTGTTTTTCAGCCAATGACTTTGGGCTCTTCCTCTCGGATGAAGACCCAAAGAAAGGGATCTGGCTGGAGGCTGGGAAGGCTCTGGACTACTACATGCTTCGCAATGGGGTAAGTATCCTTCCCACATCCTTCCAGCTGCATCCTTTGCTCTGTGGTTGGATGTCTTGCTCACAGCGTGGAGTTGGTGTGGGTGCCTGCCGTGCTGCCTTGCATTGTGCCCTGCAGCACGCCCTGTCTTCCCCACTATTGCACTGGGCAGGGGGGAGCTGTTGGCCTGATGGTGAGATGTGGGTGCCCTGCACTGGTGCCACTGCTGGTAGCTGTGCTCTGCTGTGCCTGCAGGATACCATGGAGTACAAGAAGAAGCAGCGGCCCCTGAAGATCCGCATGCTGGATGGGACAGTGAAAACGGTGATGGTGGATGACTCCAAAACTGTCACAGACATGCTCATGACAATATGTGCCCGGATTGGTGAGGAGAGGACAGCGACAGGGGAATAGAAGGGAGGTGGGGAGAGAATGGCAGAATCTGACAGGCTTCTGGGGGAGCAGCAGCAGCTCTGTGGCAGATGGCCTGGCAGCAGGGGTATCTGGGGGGTGCGTGACACTAGGGAGGGGACACTGCTCTGCGCCCCTGCATTGCTCCATGCTCTGTGTTTGGCAGAACAGTCCTTCCGAGTTTGGTTCTTTGCTCTCCTGCAGGCATCACCAACTATGATGAGTACTCACTTGTACGGGAGATCATGGAAGAGAAGAAGGAGGAGGTTACTGGCACCCTCAAGAAGGACAAGACCTTGCTGCGAGATGAGAAGAAGATGGAAAAGCTCAAGCAGAAGTTGCACACAGATGATGAGTGTAGGTGCTTGGATGTTCTGGGAATGGGGTCAGCCTGTGCCCATGGCCTTGGGGGAGGGGAGCAGGGACCCCTGTGAGAAGAAGAGGGTGTGGAGAGAAACATGTGGATGAAGGAACATGTGTCCACACTTCCTAGAATATTTCCTGCCTGGGGGCCCAGGACAGATGGGTGAGAACTGGGATGCATCAGGCAGACATCCATTTCTCACTCAGCATAAGCAGCCCCAGGGCCAGGACCAGCCATGCCTTGGTGCCTGTCCCTGCTCACACCCTGGCATTGTCTGCAGTGAACTGGCTGGATCACGGCCGGACCCTGCGTGAACAAGGCATCGATGACAATGAAACACTGCTGCTGCGGCGCAAATTCTTCTACTCTGATCAGAACGTGGACTCCAGAGATCCTGTGCAGCTCAACCTGCTCTACGTGCAGGTACAGCTTCCCAGAGCACCTGATTCCACTGCCTCCTGCCAGCCCCTGACAAGTCTGGTGGCTGAAGGTTTTGTCAGGAGCCATGATGGGGAGGTACTTTGGGATACCCAGCTATGTCCTGGGTAAGAGCCAACACTGGCAATCCCAGCTGTGTCCTCTGTGTACTCCAGAGCTCCCCAGGGAATCCCATGTCAGCTCTGTCTGGTAGGAATCATCCTGAAATCCTGCTGCTATTCCTCTCCCAGGCTTGATGCCTGTAGGGAACAGCCTGGTCCTACATACTCCTGTTTTTCAGAGCCACTTCGTTTAAGTCTGTAAAACAATGTCATGCTTGATATAGAGGAGAGGAGTGACAGGGCTGTATGGCTGCCCAGCCCACAAATAGTGTCTTCTGTTCCCAAACAGGCTCGTGACGACATTCTGAACGGTTCCCACCCTGTCTCCTTTGACAAAGCCTGTGAGTTTGCTGGCCACCAGTGCCAGATCCAGTTTGGGCCATACAACGAGCAGAAGCACAAGCCAGGCTTTCTGGAGTGAGTGTCCTGAGGAACCCCTGGGCTTGTCTTGGGGCACTGGGGCAGCTTGGCAGCACCCAGTGCCACACTGCCTTCTGGAGCTCTGGGGGTTTGGGTGCCTCTGATGCAACCCCTCTCCTTCCAACAGCACAGTGCCCAGGCATAGGGATCCACACCAGCTATGAGGGCTGCCAGCCCCCCATCCTCTGGCAGCCCTATAGGGACGTGCAGTCAGTCTGCTGGCCTGCCTTGATGCCACACAAAGGGCTGCATTATCAGCACCTTTACCCCACTCTTAACTAGGGCAACTCCAAGGACAGCTTTCATAACTGCAGCAATCTCTCCCACGTTCTTACTGCTCCCAAAAACTTCAGCTTATGCCCCAGCAGGGGCTTGTCTGCGGCTTTCGGTTGGACTTGTTCATAGTCAAGGACAGGCACTGGCTTTGGGCTCTGCTGCTAACAACTCACTTGGCTGTCTGTTGGCAGGCTCAAGGATTTCCTGCCCAAGGAGTACATCAAGCAGAAAGGAGAACGCAAGATCTTCTTGGTATGTGCAGTGGGGAGGTTGAAATCTGGACTTTTTGTTCCTCCTCACTAAAGTTTGAAGCGCTCCTGTCTGAGGAGGCAGCACACATCAGTCTAATGGGTGAGAAACAGGAGCAGGAGCTGTAGGTGGGCAGACAAGGCAGCTCCTGAGGTCTCAGAGATCAGAGCTGGTGCAGGGGATGCTGGTGGGGCGGAAGGAGCCCAAAAGGGCTGTGCAATGGTGTCAAGGCAGGACTGTGGATCTGGTGCAATGTTCTGTCTTTGCTGTTACAGGCCCACAAGAACTGTGGGAACATGAGTGAGATCGAAGCCAAAGTTCGCTATGTGAAACTTGCCCGTTCCCTCAAGACCTACGGGGTCTCCTTCTTCTTGGTCAAGGTACAGCAGCAGCCCCCCTGTTCTCACTTCAGACTCACCAAAATTCTGCTTCTTCAGCATCCATCTGTTGTGTCTCTGGCTGCTTCCCCTCACCCTATGTTGCTCCAGGTTTTTTTTTTCATCTCCCCTTTTCTATTTCCCTGTGCACTGCCTTCCTAGTCCTTGGTTCATGCTTTTTCTCATTGTCAAGCTACGTGTGATAATTGTCAGCAGTGGAAGGTGTGGCCTTATGGGTGTTTTGACAGACCTCAGATATCTCTGCCTCTGTGGATCTATCCTGGGGATAGCCCACAGAACTTCTGTTATGGCCCACAGGAGAAGATGAAGGGGAAGAACAAGCTGGTGCCACGGCTGCTGGGGATCACCAAGGAGTGTGTGATGCGTGTGGATGAGAAGACCAAGGAAGTGATTCAGGAATGGAGCCTGACCAACATCAAGCGTTGGGCAGCCTCTCCCAAGAGCTTCACCCTGGTAGGGACCAGCACTGGTCTCCCATTCCTCCTTCCTTCTGTAGGGGGGCAGCTCGCACTCCAGCCCCTCTCACAGCTGTTGCTCCATGGTGGCACAGCCTTGCCCTTCTCTGGTGCCTCTGTCAGAGCTTGCTTTGAAGGCTGGTGCTTGGGTGCTTAGTGCATACCACAGGGGCTCAGGATGGCTGCCAGTGCCCTGCTCTGGTGCTACCCTGTGCCCTGCTGTTGCAGGATTTTGGAGATTACCAGGATGGTTACTACTCAGTGCAGACGACAGAAGGGGAACAGATCGCCCAGCTGATTGCTGGCTACATTGATATCATCCTCAAAAAGGTAAGGCTGTGCTGAGAAGGGTACTGATAGCCCCTCTCTAGAGAGACGTACAGAATGTGCCTTCCAGCTGCCTCCAAACAGCCATTGGCAGACAGTACTGCTGGAAAAGCTGGAGGCAGGGCAAGGGGACCCTGTGACCCTGGTATGCTGTCTGGACTGCAGGAGAAGGGGAGGGTGTGGGGGTATAATTTTCTATTTCCCTTTGCAGAAAAAGAGCAAAGATCACTTTGGACTGGAGGGTGATGAGGAGTCCACCATGCTGGAAGACTCTGTGTCTCCAAAGAAGTAAGTCTTCCAGGAACATGGGAGCTGCCAAACACAAGTTAAATGGAGAGTGTGCTCTAGCAAAGCTTGCAACACAGCAAGGAGGAAGAGCTGCTGTGCCTGGTGCCGGTGTTGTAGGCATTTCTTTACCTGGTATTTCTCCCCATTTCAGGTCGACAGTTGTGCAGCAGCAGTTTAACCGTGTAGGCAAGGCAGAGCTGGGCTCAGTGGCCCTGCCAGCCATCATGAGGACTGGGGCTGGGGGACCAGAAAACTTCCAGGTGGGCACGATGCCACAGCCTCAGCTTCAAATCACCAGTGGCCAGATGCACCGAGGGCACATGCCTCCCCTGGTAAGCTCTTCTTGTGCTCACCATGAGGCACAAACTCTGAGAGGTGACTGTCAGTCTTGTGTAGACCAATCTCTTTGGGTCCATGACCATGATCTTTTGGGTCTTGCTGTGAAGAGCAGGGGCTTTGTGCTACTAGCTTTGTGTGCTTGCTGGCCTGGCTGAGCCGGCATCCTTGTGCACCTTCTCTGCAAACCTGAGCTACACTTTAGCGTTTTAGTCTGGCTAGGGATTGCAGCCTCTCATTTCAGGTAGTGATTGGACAGCCCCAGTAGGTCTGTGGTTTGCAGCAGAACCCAGTGCCATGTTTTGGTGCCCCCAGCTCCTGTGCAGCTGGAGGAGCACTTGGAGAAGGCCACGAGGAGGCTGATTTCTTTTGCCTCATGCAGTCTGTTGTGGGCGCTTGCTGTGAAAGCCTTGTGGGATCTCACAGCATCTTCTCCCCACTCCCTAAGAATCGCTTAACTGTGACACTTAGTTGTAACCATGGTGGGATGAGGCATTTTCCAGTGGGAGTTGCAGAGGGGAAAATCCCTTTTTGCTAAGTGCACCCCACTTTGTGGAGACCTACCTGGAGCGGTGCCATCAGCAGCACGTTGCAGGGGAGCATTTGAGCCAAATATGTGATCCTAGATTCCAAGCCTTTGGCATATGTCACTCATTATGTCTCTGTGTTGCAGACCTCAGCCCAGCAAGCCCTGACCGGCACTATCAACTCCAGCATGCAGGCTGTGCATGCAGCCCAGGCCACGCTGGACGACTTTGAGACCTTGCCACCTCTTGGGCAGGATGCTGTGAGTGCTGGGTGAAGGTGGGATGCTGGGGGTGGACCTTGCTGGAAGCTGGGCTGGGTGAGGCTGGCCACATTCCCAGAAGAAGTGTTAGCAGCTCCTGGGAAGACCTGCTGCCTGTAAAGAGATGGGGTTTTATCCCACTCAGTGGGCAAACATGGAGTGGACACTTGGTCATATTTGGTCAGAGTGGACTAGAGAATTTGGGTGGTTACAGGTCTTCCCACTCTTTTCTTTATATCCTCTTTCTTGCATTTCTCTCTGTGAGTATGTGTGCAGCTTGCCACCACTTCTGCCACCTTCTCCTGATCCTGTTCTCCCCACTCAGGCATCAAAAGCTTGGCGCAAAAACAAGATGGATGAGTCAAAGCATGAGATCCACTCCCAAGTGGATGCCATAACTGCTGGCACGGCCTCAGTCGTCAACCTCACTGCAGGTATATGGAGAGTTGGAGTAGAGGGATGCCCCAGTTCAGTAAAACACTGGTCTCTCTTGTCTGGCAGAAAGACTCCTTCTGCTCCCTGAAAGGAAAACCACATCAGTGACAGTTGAGGGGATGCTCTTGGAGCATATCCCATCCTGACTCCTCTCTTTCCTGTGCAGGGGATCCAGCAGACACGGACTACACCGCTGTGGGCTGCGCTGTCACCACCATCTCTTCCAACCTGACGGAGATGTCTAAGGGTGTGAAGCTGCTGGCTGCGCTGATGGAGGACGAGGGAGGGAATGGGCGGCAGCTTCTGCAGGCAGCCAAGAATCTGGCGAGCGCCGTCTCAGACCTGCTGAAAACAGCACAGCCTGCCAGTGCTGAGGTGGGGAGCTGGAGGGGCTGTGGGACTGAGAGGAACGGGGAAGCCAAGGGAAACCACTGAGTGAAGTTTTAAGGCTTGCTCATGAGTGTTGTATCAGTTTTGCATTGTTCCTTGCAGCCTCGCCAGAATCTCCTGCAGGCTGCTGGCCTGGTGGGGCAAACCAGCGGGGAGCTGCTGCAGCAGATAGGGGAGAGTGACACTGACCCCCGGTTCCAGGTGAGTGCACCCAGCAGCAACCAAGAACAGCCACTCTGTAAAACTATCAGCCTTTGCACAGCGCCTCACAGGAAGAGTCCAAGCTGAACATTCGCCAGTGCCCAGTGGTGCCCAGTGGTGAGGGAGGGGACAGACCATTGCCCATCTCTGTCTCTAGAGTGATATAACAGCTCTTATCTTGTGGATTCTATATAGATCCCAGAAAACCGGTGTGCTTGGATCCTGCCTTCCTCTGAACCAAAGACGGTAAAACAGGCCTGGCTTGGCTTGGTGGTCCCTGCCATCTCCAATGTGAAGGGGGCTCCTCTGGGAACTGAAATCTTTGGAGAAGGGCTCTTACAAAATTCTGCTTTTCTGGTGGTTGGATCTCAGAAGTCCATGCACTCGGGTTCTGCTGAAGCAAGTGCTGCTCTGGAGATCACCCCTTGCAGCCGCCTCAGCTCCTGCCTGCTGCTCCCTGTCTGTGGCAGCTGCCTGCCTGCCCCCATCAGAGACCCAGTATGGGTGGAGCCTTGTGTGGCACGTATTTTTAGATGAGCTGACTGCCAACTGACTTGCTTTCCCATGATTGCTCCTGCCAGCATAAAGGAGGTAGCACTGTGCTGGAGAGGACAATCCAGGCATATTATAGACCAAAATACTCCAGAAGGAAGGGGTTTCCGTTCATGGCAGCCACACAGATTCAACTGAGTAGAGAGGCCTTGAAAGATATCCAAGGGGAGCAGAAGAGCAGAAAGCCATGTTTGGCCATGCAGCAGTGCCAGGATAGAATATCCCCAAAGGTCAGATTTTGGACCTGGAAGACAATTTGCAGTCAAGCAGCAGGATGTTCCGCCTCACATTTGTCAGACCCGAGTGTACGTACTTCCTTTGATGGGCTCAGATGCAGTGGTCTGGGGACTCTTGAATTGGATGCATGCAGTCTGCAGTCTTTCCTCCTCTTGCAAAAGGTGATGGATTGCAGTTGGAGTAGTCTTGGCTTGCAGGAGGCAAGTGGATGCTATGACTCTTCTGATTTGGTGGCTGGAGGCTTACTTCTTGTGGGGTGCAGGGCTGGTTGTTGTGATCACACACACAGCAGGAGGTTGGCAGCTGCAGTAGGCAGAGAGCCTTGCCTTGCCTACCAGGATTTTTGGTATTTAGGGGTGGTGTTACCAGTTTTCACCAGCAGTGTGCCACAGGGGCTAATCCTGAAGGCTGCAGCATGCTGTCATATCTGGTGCCCTGCAGGAAAGCAGTTCACCATGTGCTGGTCCCTGCCTCTTGCCTCCTGGCACTGGTTGTGTACTTGCCACCCAGGAGAGACGAGGCTGGTTTTCTTGTCACACCTCTCTTTTAGCTTCAGGAATTACAGCAGAGGTGTACTCTAGCTTGTCAGTCAACAAGTTAGAATTGAAAATAAAAATAGCTGGCATACCTGCAATACAGGTGGCCAGCATGGAGCATCTCCCACTTGCCTCTTGCTAGCAGCTGCCCACAGTGTGGGTGTGCCAGGGCTGGCTTGTGCCTGCTGTTTGGCCGGAAGGGTTTGTCATCTTTTCACTGTGTTCAAATGTTTGCAAACCCAATCAAATCCAGGAAGTACCAGCAGTGCCTTGCAGCAGGTTCTTGCTGTGGTACAATTGGGGACAGGTGGTTGTCTGGGGAGTGGGTATTGCAGTGATGCTGAACATTGCCCGGGCTTCTGTGGGTGGTGTTTGTGGCAGTGCAGGCTGCAGCTCAGGGCCAGGCTACAGCCTCACTGCCAGCTGTAGAACACAGTGGGATCAAGGTGTTGCCAGCCTTTCCAGCTATTCAGTGCTGCTGGAGCTGGGACAGAGTGGATGAAAAGGTCCCGAGGGCTCACATTTCCCATCTGAATATTTCACGAGAGCCTTGCAGATGACTGCGGCTGCTCCCACTGCCATGGCTGCCTCGTTGACCCTTTCTGTCCCCTCCCAGGACATGCTTATGCAGCTGGCGAAGGCGGTGGCCAACGCTGCCGCTGCGCTGGTGCTCAAAGCCAAGAACGTGGCTCAGAAAACAGAGGACACCGCGCTGCAGACACAGGTGATCGCAGCAGCCACCCAGTGCGCCCTCTCCACCTCCCAGCTGGTGGCCTGCACCAAGGTAAGCAGCAGGGTTAACCCGTGCCTCGGCATGGGCGTGAGCTTCACCTGGCTGGGGGGCAGCTTTGCAGCAGCATCCTAGGTGTGCCAGGTCCACATGTCCTAAGGCAGGACATTGGGAATCTGGCACAGGAAGTGCAGGCTGCCTCTTGTTGGAGGCCCTGCCACTGTGCCCAAGCAATGACGATCCTCTTTGGAGGAGCAGAAGTTTGGGATAGCTCCTCAATGGAGCATACCATGCTTGCTGCCCAGCCTTTGTTCTCCCTTCCAGGTTGTGGCTCCTACAATCAGCTCCCCAGTTTGCCAGGAGCAGCTGATCGAGGCTGGCAAGTTGGTGGCCAAATCGGCTGAGGGCTGTGTGGAGGCCTCTAAGGCAGCCACCAGCGATGACCAGCTCCTGAAGCAGGTGGGGGTGGCAGCCACGGCTGTCACCCAGGCCCTGAACGACCTTCTGCAGCACATCAAGCAGCATGCCTTGGGTGGGCAGCCCATTGGGCGCTACGACCAGGCCACTGACACCATCCTCAATGTCACTGAGAATATCTTCAGCTCCATGGGCGATGCAGGTGAGAGTGAGACACCCAGGGCAGAGCACAATGGATAGGGAGGTATCAGAGAGCCCTTGGGACCTGCTAACAGGCCACACTTCCATTCTGTTCCAGGGGAAATGGTGCGTCAGGCTCGTATTCTGGCCCAGGCCACCTCTGACCTTGTCAATGCTATCAAAGCTGATGCTGAGGGAGAGACAGACCTGGAGAATTCACGCAAGCTTCTGAGTGCAGCCAAGATCCTGGCTGATGCCACTGCCAAGATGGTGGAGGCTGCAAAGGTCAGTGTGTGGGGAAGGGTGGATCCTGCTTTGGGCTCAGCTCTGTCCAGTGCTGTTGGCTCAGTGCTGGGTAGGGGATGAGCAGCCCCTGGTTGAGCAGCAGTTCCCTGAGGAAGGTCTTGCATTGAGCCAGGGACCTGTGGCGTGGGCTCCTCCTGTGAAGGAGTTTTAGGAAGTTGTGGGTGGTAGCAGAAGAGGGGTTGTTGCTCCTCCTGCTGGACTCTTCCAGAGAGGCTGTGAAAATCTCCCAAGTACCATAAACAGGGCTGTCTTGTGGGGGTCAAGCAGAGGTGCTGCTCCAGGAGGAAAAGGGACTCCATGGTCCTTGAGAGGTGTGATGGGTTTTCTGTTTTCTCCAGGGAGCTGCAGCCCACCCGGACAGCGAGGAGCAGCAGCAGCGGCTGCGTGAGGCAGCAGAAGGGCTCCGCATGGCAACCAATGCTGCAGCCCAGAACGCCATCAAGAAGAAGCTTGTGCACAAGCTGGAGGTAGGATGCTGGGCAAGGATCTGCAAAGGGCAAGCAAGCAAAAGTCAGTGAGCAAGGCCTGTCCATACAACTCCTCTTTCCAGAGGGGTAAAGTCCTTTTCAAGTACAGTGTCCATGCTGCATCACAGAGAGATCTCCCTTCCCTTGTGTGCACTGTGTTGTTTTAGGGTGCTGGGGTTGCTCGGGTGCCACAGGAGTAGGCACAGGAGAATTTTGGGGGATCTGGGCCCTGGTCATGGCGGGGGGGCTCAATACAGACTGCCAGTGTTAATCTGTGCCTCCCTGTGCCAGCACACAGCCAAGCAGGCCGCTGCCTCGGCCACGCAGACCATCGCCGCCGCGCAGCACGCCTCCTCCTCCAACAAGAACCCCGCTGCTCAGCAGCAGCTGGTGCAGAGCTGCAAGGTAAGGGCCTGGGCCTGATCCCAGCATCTCCTGTGCTCCCGCTCCCTATCTCATCTCCCGTTAGCTATGCTGGTGCGTCCTGCTCTGCCACAGTGGTCAGACTGAATCCTGGGGTTCTCACTTAGGTCCTGTAGGAGCTGGTCTTTCATCACTGGTCCTGGGTTGAATCCATGTGTGATCCTCTCTAGTGACCCTGTTCTCTGGCAGGTGGTGGCAGAGCAGATTCCAATGCTGGTGCAGGGTGTGCGAGGAAGCCAGTCCCAGCCGGACAGCCCCAGCGCCCAGCTGGCTCTCATTGCTGCCAGCCAGAACTTCCTGCAGGTACCCGTGCTGCCCAGAGCCTCCTGTGCCAGCTCTGGCATTACAGCTTTCCTACTGTGCCTGTCACAGACACTGGGAAATCTTCTGCACACAGCACACAGGCAGCTGAGATGCTGCCTGTTTGTTCCCTTCTCACTGCTGTTTTTTTCTGGCCCAACAGCCTGGTGGGAAGATGGTAGCTGCAGCCAAGGCCACTGTCCCCACCATAACGGACCAAGCCTCTGCTATGCAGCTTAGTCAGTGTGCCAAGAACCTGGCTGCAGCTCTGGCTGAGCTCCGCACAGCAGCTCAGAAGGTGAGAGGCTGAGTCCCATCCTGCAGTGATGTGCAGAGCAGTGGGGAATGGTGGGGACAGCCTGGTGGCAGGTTCTGGTCTCTGCCACAGCCAGGTGGGCTCAGTGGTCACCTGCTCACCTGTCCTTCTGCTCTATCACAGGCTCAGGAGGCATGTGGACCCCTGGAGATAGACTCTGCACTGGGTCTGGTGCAGAGCCTGGAAAGGGACTTGCAGGAAGCCAAGGCAGCTGCCCGTGATGGCAAGCTCAAGCCTCTTCCAGGAGAGACGGTGAGGGTGCAGGGAAGGGTAGATCAGGGTGGACTCTGGGGCAGTGGAGTTGCCAAAGGTGCAGCTCACCAGCATGTCCCAATTTGGCCCCCCTGCAGATGGAGAAGTGTGCCCAGGACCTGGGGAACAGCACCAAAGCTGTCAGCTCTGCCATCGCTCACCTACTGGGAGAGGTGGCCCAGGGCAATGAGAACTATACAGGTACTGGCATCCACAACAGGGCTGGGGAAGGGGCACTGAGCTGACAGGCACTGACCTCTCCATCCTCCCAGGAATTGCTGCCCGGGAAGTGGCCCAGGCCCTGCGCTCACTCAGCCAGGCTGCCCGTGGTGTGGCAGCCAACACCTCCGACCCGCAGGCACAGAGTGCCATGCTGGAGTGCGCCAGTGATGTCATGGACAAAGCCAACAACCTCATTGAGGAGGCCCGGAAAGCAGTGGCCAAGCCTGGTGACCCAGAGAGCCAGCAGCGCCTGGCCCAGGTGGGGACAGTGTGGAGACCCCTTCAGGCTGTGGGAAGGGTGTGGGGCTGGCTGGGAGGTAGTGACCTCTCTTTGCTTCCCTGCAGGTGGCCAAGGCAGTGTCACAGGCCCTGAACCGATGTGTTAACTGCCTGCCAGGGCAGCGGGACGTGGACGCTGCCATCCGCATGGTGGGAGAGGCCAGCAAGCGGCTGCTTTCAGATTCGGTGAGTGAGCTGGGGCGGGAGGGGAAGGGGAAAATCAGGCAATGCAGGCTGGTCCAACTGCATCGGGTTCCTCTTGTATATCCCCAAGCATGTGCCAGACTTTCATCTACCATCTCCACTCATCTCTCTGCCTCTCCTAACCTCTCTCCTTCCTTCCAGTTCCCTCCCAGCACCAAGAGCTTCCAGGAGGCACAGAGCCAGCTGAACCAGGCAGCAGCAGGGCTCAATCAGTCTGCCAATGAGCTGGTTCAGGCGTCGCGTGGTACCCCTCAAGACCTGGCCAAGTCCTCTGGCAAATTTGGACATGACTTCAATGAATTCCTCCAGGCAGGAGTGGAGATGGCCAGCCAGTCCCCGGTGAGAGGAAGTGCCTATTGGGGTATCCTGAATGAAGGGAGAGATTTGGGATGTCTGAGAAGGTAGCTGACCAATTGCAGGGTGGCCAGGCAGTGGTGGTTAGGGTGGCTGTGGCCAGTGCAACCGGGGAGATGGGGACTGGAGCTGCGCTAAACCATAGCAACAGGGAGAAGGTGGCTTAAGTTAGTTTGGCAAGAATTCATGTTGCCTTGCTGTTGGCGGACAAGGTGGATGAAAGGAACTAGCTCGGCTTGAAAATCCCCAGAGAAGATCCAGGCTCGGTGTGGACTTTAAAAGGTGGTGCAGAAATCTTATATTGGCTCCTTGCAGAATAAGGAGGACCAGGCACAGGTGGTGTCGAACTTGAAGAGCATTTCCATGTCCTCCAGCAAGCTGCTGCTGGCTGCAAAGGCTCTCTCTGCTGATCCTGCTGCCCCCAACCTCAAGAATCAACTGGCAGCAGCAGCACGGTAAGAGGAACTTACCCTGAGAGCTGCTGGCCATAGATAGTAGTGGGGCTGGGTGGTGGGGCATGCATTGATCTGTGAATCTTTTTCTCATGTCCCTGGCAGGGCTGTGACTGACAGCATTAATCAGCTGATCACCATGTGCACCCAGCAGGCCCCAGGCCAGAAGGAGTGTGACAATGCCCTGCGAGAGCTGGAGGTAAGAAGCCATAAGGCAGTGGAGGGGTTGAGATGTTGGGTATGGGGGGAGCTGCACCCCACTGCAAGGAACAGGAGGGAATGAAGAGGAGGTGCAAGTGAAGGATGCAGAACTTTCCTTTGGGTGTGACACCTGTGTCCCTGCAGACGGTGAAGGAATTGTTGGAGAACCCCACCCAGACTGTCAATGACATGTCCTACTTCAACTGCCTTGACAGTGTCATGGAGAACTCCAAGGTAAGCCCTCAATGGAGGTTTGGGGAAGAACAGGGAGGGCTTGGGAAGGATATGGGAACAATGGGAAAGGTGATTCCTCCCCTACCAATGAAGCACAGTGAATTCTGATCCTGGGAGCACTGCAGGAGTCAGAGGTGGTCTCCATAATCCATGTGTGGTGTGTCCTGCAGGTGCTGGGAGAGTCCATGGCTGGCATCTCCCAGAATGCCAAGAACAGCAAACTGCCCGAGTTTGGCGAGTCCATCAGTGCTGCCTCCAAAGCTCTCTGTGGGCTGACAGAGGCAGCTGCCCAGGTGAGACACACTCAGTTCCAGCCCTGAACCTCACCCCAGGGACATAGTTGTTCCATGCACCCCCACCCCTGCCTTTCCAAAGCTGGAGATGCTGCCAGACTCCTCAGCAGCCCATGCTCTCTGTGGGCCTCCCTGCAGTGTGCAGGCTCTCACCACATCTCCCATGCTTCTAGGCTGCCTACCTTGTGGGCGTCTCAGACCCCAACAGCCAGGCCGGACAGCAGGGCTTGGTGGACCCCACTCAGTTTGCTAGAGCTAACCAAGCCATCCAGATGGCCTGCCAGAACCTGGTGGATCCTGCCTGTACTCAGTCCCAGGTGAGTGTGGGGTGGGGTTCCATTACAAGCATTTGATTGCATCAAAAGGAAAATGAAGCTAGCTGGAAGTGCTGCATCCTAAGAGTTGGCCAGGATGATGGCTAGTGTCTCATCAGGCCCCATCAGTTGCACTGGGAACCAGCTGGCAGCTTTGGTGCAATGGTGACAGTCCAGATAGCGGGCTCTGTGGGCATGTGGGATCTTGGTGATCCTTCTTGGGTCCCAAAAAGGATGTCTGTGCTCAGTGGTGCCCTCCACAGGGTGGGTGAGAAGGAGAGCTGTAGGAAAGTGGATGAATCCTGCCTTACTCCGCTTTCCCCTGCAGGTGCTGTCAGCAGCCACCATCGTAGCAAAACACACCTCAGCCCTGTGCAACACGTGCCGTCTGGCGTCCTCCCGCACTGCCAATCCTGTGGCCAAGCGCCAGTTCGTCCAGTCGGCCAAGGAGGTGGCCAACAGCACTGCCAACCTGGTGAAGACCATCAAGGTGTGGAGTCCTTTCTGAGTCAGTGTGGTGGTGATGGGATTTGAGGTGCAGTGGGCGTTGGGTAACTGCTCTGGTCTCTCCACACCAGGCCCTGGACGGCGAGTTCAACGAAGAGAACCGGGAGCGGTGCCGTGCTGCCACCGCCCCTCTCATAGAGGCCGTGGATAACCTGACAGCCTTTGCTTCCAACCCAGAGTTTGCCACCGTTCCTGCTCAGATCAGCCCAGAGGTGGGATACTGCTGGGACAGGGAGGATGGAGCCTGGCTGTGGAAGGCTGGGCTGGAGAGAAGCTGTGCCTTCCCTGAGCCTGGGGAGCCTGCACTGAGGGGGTGTGATAGGGAGGTGGCAGCAAGCCTTGGGCTTTAAGGAGATGCTCCATGGTAAGGGTCATGGGAGAGGGAGCAACTTCCCATGCACTCTCCCTTACCTCACCTGTTGTCTCCCTGTGCAGGGGCGCAGAGCCATGGAGCCCATTGTCATTTCAGCCAAGACCATGCTGGAGAGCTCTGCTGGCCTCATCCAGACTGCTCGCTCTCTGGCTGTCAACCCCAAGGACCCACCACAGTGGTCAGTGCTTGCTGGCCACTCGCGCACAGTCTCAGACTCCATCAAGAAGCTGATCACCAACATGAGGTGAGCAGAGTCCTTCTGTGGCTGTGGCTCTGTTCCTGCTGGCACATACCCCTGCCCTGAGCAAGAATTCCTGGGGATGTTTTGGCTCATCATCTCCTTGGACACAGCTGGTGCAGGCAGGCAAGGGACAGGATGGAAGACACTGTCCCTTTTGTCCTTCCTGGTAGCTGCTCCTCCAATTCTCTCAAGGGTTGATGGGAACACACACTGATGTGCCCAGGCTCTATCACACTTGCCCCTCACCGCCACCAGCCAAGGCTGGGGTTGAAGGGGTGGTGTAGCAGCTGCCAGTGCTTGGCTGATTCATCTGTCACTCAGGGACAAAGCTCCAGGACAGCGGGAGTGTGATGAGGCCATTGAGGTCCTGAACAGATGCCTGCGGGAGGTGGACCAGGCATCCCTCGCTGCCATCAGCCAGCAGCTGGCCCCCCGACAAGATATCTCCCAGGAGGTGGGTCAGGGGACAAACCTAAGGGACTGGGCATCCTTCCCCAGGCTCTCAGCAGCATGAAGGGACCCCAGCCCTGCTGCAGCCTCATGCAATACCCTCTCTTTCCACAGGCATTGCACAATCAGATGATCACAGCTGTCCAGGAGATCAGCAACCTGATTGAGCCTGTTGCTGCTGCAGCACGGGCCGAGGCCTCGCAGCTGGGGCACAAGGTAGTGGGGGTATGGCACTTGGTGCCTGGGGAGGAGAGGTGCAATGCAGCTGGGGCTGGAAGCTGCTGGTGCTGACACTGCTCTTCCTTAGGTGTCCCAGATGGCTCAGTATTTCGAGCCACTCATTATGGCAGCTGTCGGTGCTGCCTCCAAAACACCCAACCACCAGCAGCAGATGAACCTCCTGGACCAGACCAAAACACTGGCTGAATCCGCCTTGCAGATGCTGTACACAGCCAAGGAGGCTGGTGGGAACCCCAAGGTGAGGGGCACGTGTCAGTGGCATGCCCTCCTTTGCATGTGAGTGCTGCATGGTGCACACATGTGTGCCTGACATGGAAAGTCCAGGGTCAGTGTGCAGCATCCCTTTTGGGAGGGGAGCCGCTGCCTGTCTTCCCTCACCCTGGCTTCTCCTTGCAGCAAGCTGCCCACACTCAGGAGGCTCTGGAAGAGGCTGTGCAAATGATGAAGGAAGCGGTGGAGGACCTGACCACCACCCTGAATGAGGCAGCCAGTGCTGCAGGTGTCGTCGGGGGCATGGTGGACTCCATCACCCAAGCCATCAACCAGGTGAGGGGAGCAAGGAGAGGACCTGGACAGGGTTGGATGTGGGAGAGAGGAGGAGTCAGGGTCAAACCCTACAAGCTAAAGACCTTGTGGGTCATCTGGAGCCAGAATCTCCTGGTGGTCTCTTGCAGCTGGACGAGGGGCCCATGGGCGAGCCAGAAGGTACCTTTGTGGATTACCAGACCACGATGGTGAAGACAGCCAAGGCTATTGCAGTGACTGTGCAGGAAATGGTGGGTGCAAGCAAGCCTGTCACTGTAGAATGCACTGCCTGCCACTGAGTCAGGCTACTGCCCTCCTTGCCCTGTCCAACTCCTGCTCTTCTTCCACCAACAGGTCACCAAATCCACCACCAACCCAGATGAGCTGGGCATACTGGCCAACCAACTCACCCATGACTATGGGCAGCTGGCACAAGAGGCCAAACCAGCTGCCCTCACTGCTGAGAATGAGGAGGTGCGAGCCTGGGGGAAGTGCTGGAGTGTGATGTGGAGCAGAGCGGGGGCTGTTGGGGCGTGAGGACAGGGACACTTGAACCTCCCATTGGAGCTGGGGGCAGGCAGTTTTCACACCTTCCCTGAAACATGACATAGAAACAAGGAGCAAAGCTGTGTTTCCTTTTTCCTTCCCCTGAGTGGGAGGATTGGGAAAGAAGAGCTGGGTGGTGAGTGTTTCCCAGTGGGTATCACAGATGCAGGGCTTAGTTCCCTGCTGACTCTGTCACACACACATTCCTCTGCAGATCGGCTCCCACATCAAGCGTCGGGTGCAGGAGCTGGGTCATGGCTGTGCTGCCCTGGTCACCAAGGCTGGAGCCCTGCAGTCCAGCCCCAGTGATGCATACACCAAGAAGGAGCTGATAGAGAGTGCACGCAAGGTTTCTGAGAAGGTAGGTGGTCAAGAGGTGAGGTGGGAGGGATAATGGATTCAGCCATGTGCCCTTGGAGCCACCACTCCAAGGGTGGTTTCCTGGTCCTGTTGGAATCTGTTGGCTTTCTTGGCCATATTCCCCCTGCTCAGCTGATGGCGGGTGTGGGGAGGATGGATCTCCCTCTGGAGACACTATAACAGCAGCTGGTGGGTGAGTGTGATGGCCATGTGCTGCAGCCTGCCGGGGAAAACTGACCTACACACTGGTGACAGGCCAGGGCTCTCCAGATCAGTTCTTGCGGAGTTGGGCAAAGCATCTGCAGCAGTGCTTGCAGCTCACACTCAGTGATCAGTCTACCCTTCACCTTTTGCTGGCATCCTGTCCATCAAGTCAATCTAAAGAGCATGCTTCTGAAGAACAGATGAAGAAATGTGGCTTAAAAAGTCTAGTTGATATGGATAGAGCAGCAGTGCAAAAACACTAACAGTAAACACTTGTTAGTTGTCCCTGGCATCTGCAAATTTTTCTAATTTGAAAACTAGCTGAGTCCAGCATCTCTTAGGCCACCAAACATGATAGGTGCAAGATAAAAATAAATAACTGGAAGCTAAGAAGGGGGTGCAGACCAAAATATTTCCAGTTCCTCTGCCTGGTAGCTCCACTCTTGGGGGTGTTGGAGGTGTGTGCAGTGAGGGTTCCCTGAACCTGTTCTGCTCCCCCAGTCACTTGTACCCCACAGGTGTCTCATGTGCTGGCAGCTCTTCAGGCTGGGAACCGTGGGACACAAGCCTGCATCACAGCAGCCAGTGCTGTCTCTGGCATCATTGCTGACCTTGACACCACCATCATGTTTGCTACAGCAGGAACCCTCAACCGAGAGAACTCTGAGACCTTTGCTGACCACAGGTACCCAGGCACCCTGTCCAGCCTCTGATCAGACAGAGACAGAGGTGTCAAGCTCTGTCCCATGGTTTTTCTGAGCTAGGGACCAGCCCCAAGGAGAGCTTCAAACTCAGGTCGTGCTAGCTCAATTTCCCAGCTTGTACATGGGAAAACCAGGATCCACAGTCTCTCTGTACCCCAAGGACCATGGGTGCAGTAGAGAGCTGTGTCCTCCCTGACACACTTTTCCTCTCCAGGGAAGGCATCTTGAAAACAGCCAAGGCACTGGTGGAGGATACCAAGGTGTTGGTGCAGAATGCCACAGCCAGCCAGGAAAAGCTAGCCCAGGCTGCCCAGTCCTCTGTGTGCACTATCACCCGCCTGGCAGAGGTGGTGAAGCTGGGTGCTGCCAGCCTGGGATCTGAAGACCCAGAAACCCAGGTATGATTTGGTGTGTGGGCTGAGTGGAGGCTGCTGGTAGCTTGTTTGGAGGGGCTGAGGAATGCAGATGTCATGTGGTGCTCAGGCTGGATGCCAAGAGCTGGGGAGAGACGGGGCTGGGCTTTGGCTGGTGCTGGCTGAGCAGGACTCCCTGTGTGCCCTGTGGTGCCCAAATCTCTCACTGCTGGGCCACACCACCCCCAGCCTAAGTGTGACTTTAGCTCAGCCATTCCCCTGATCTTGCTCTCTGCAGGTGGTCCTGATCAATGCTGTGAAGGATGTGGCCAAGGCACTTGGAGACCTGATTGGTGCCACCAAAGCAGCTGCTGGCAAAGCTGGAGATGACCCTGCTGTCTACCAGCTGAAGAACTCAGCCAAGGTCTGTGCTGGTTGTGATGGAAGGAAGGGGAGGAGGCAGTGGGGCTGGAGAAAGAGAAGGAGTTTTTTTCTGCCTGTGTGGGCACAGGAACACCACTGGGGTGCAGTCAGGACAAAAGGGTAGGAAGGGACACATAAAAGGTGGAACACAGCTTGCAGAGGAGCAATTGAGGCAGTTTGAATGCAGTATGGGGATGGGGCAGTTTTGAACCAACCTACAGAGGAAGGACAGGTGCTGGCAACAGGCCAGAACTTGTGTGGGGATTCACCTGGCTCTCTCTGTCCTTCCATAGGTGATGGTGACAAACGTCACTTCCTTGCTGAAGACAGTGAAGGCTGTTGAGGATGAGGCCACGAAGGGGACACGGGCCCTGGAGGCCACCATCGAGCACATTCGCCAGGAGCTGGCGGTGAGTACAGCCGCGGGGCTGTGGCTGCCGCGCTGCTCGCCTGCCGCCCTGCCCCTCACCGCTGCCTCTCGCCTCGCAGGTCTTCTCCTCCCCAGTGCCTCCTGCCAAGGTCTCCACCCCAGAGGACTTCATCCGCATGACGAAAGGCATCACGATGGCCACAGCCAAAGCGGTGGCCGCTGGCAACTCGTGCCGGCAGGAGGATGTCATCGCCACGGCCAATCTGAGCCGCCGGGCCATCGCAGACATGCTGCGCTCCTGCAAGGTGGGGCACGCAGTGGGTGTGGATCTCTAGCACGGATTTGTGGGTGGAGGGGGATGGTGCTGGATGTGAATAGGGGTTTCCCTCTGTCTGGGTTGCAGGAAGCAGCCTACCACCCGGAGGTGAGCGGGGACGTGCGGCAACGGGCGCTGCGCTTTGGCAAGGAGTGTGCTGATGGCTACCTGGAGCTGCTGGAGCATGTGCTGGTGGTGAGTGTCCTCACTCCGGTTCCCAGGGTGGGCAGAGGCTGACTGTGGATTGCCTGGGTGTTCCCCAGATCCCCAAGGTCCTCTGGGCTCTTCACCTCTTCCCACTGAGCCCTTTGCACAGCCCACGTCACTGCCTGTGCTGGCACAGCATGTGTCCGTGCCCCTGCCATGGAAGCAGATGTCAGAGGGCTCAACAGGCTCTAAGAAAGGTATTTTGCTAACAACAGATGGAGATTAACTGACTGCAAACAGATGGAGGCTGGTAATCAATAACATGGTAGCATAGTCTTGTAAAAACACAGCTTCCAGTAAAAGTGATAGGAATAATAGACCTCAGGCAGTGGGAAAACAAAGTGTCATGACCACAGCACTATGTGTGGGATATGGACAGTGCCTGCCATAGCAAAGATAATGACTGGAAGCGCCCACTGCACTCTTTTGATCCAGTCTCCCTCTGATTGAGTCCTCCCAAGGACTTCAGCTGCAACATTAGTTTACAAGAAGTAAATTAAGCCTCTAGCACGGTAGGAAACATCCAGTGAAGTCATTCCAACAGTTTGATTCTTGGCAAGACCACAGAAGTAGAGTCAGGGGCACTGTGAGGATGTGCACACTCAACTTGTGGTGCTGTGAGATCTCTCAAACAGGAGAAAGACTGACAATGATTCAGCTCCATGTCAAGGTTGCACTAAGCTGGTTAGTGAGAGTCTGCTGTCTGGGATCACCAGCTACAAAGTGGTGGAGCCTAAACTGTGGTTTCCTGCAGGGAAAGCTCCCTTAGGCAGAGGGTAACCAGCACTGGCAGCAGCAGGGGGAGGTGGGCAGGAATCGATGGCTAGAAATCAAAGCTGCGCAGAGGAGAAGTCACAGGTGGTCTTATTCAAGGGAGGTAACCACTGGGGTACAGTTCCAAGGGGAGCAGTTAGTTTTCCATCCTCTGCATCTAGATCAAATGTCTGCCTGGAAGATGCTTCAGGCACCCATGAATCATGGCAGCCAAGGCTGAAGTGCTGAGTAGAAATTCTCTGGCTGACCTGTTGTTAGCAGATGATTAGGCTAATGACTTAGTGTGGCAGTGCCCAAGGTCAGCCTACTTGCAGGAACACGCCATTCCCCTGTATTTTGGGTGTTACCATCCTGCTGCTGTGCAATGTTTTGACTATCATACATTGGAACATCCTTAAAAATGTTTACTGGAGGTGTCTCTTAGTAAGCTTGTAGCCTCCGAGATGCCTTCAGCTCCAGACAGAGATCATTTAGCAGTTTTAAACACGTTGTCAGAGCAGACAGCAGACTTAATAATAAGGCATTTAGTCTAGATATGCTCATGAGGGTAAACCAGCCATCACTGTGTGCCACAGCTTGAGTACTCTGAGCCTCACGCCGCTCTGGTCACTCTGCTGGGATGGCCCGGCACAAGGTCAGGAAAAAGCCATTACTCACCTCAGTCTCCACACCACTCTGGTCTGCGAAGCAGAGGCAGGAGTGAAGCTCACAGGTCCTGTTTATCAAAGGACAGCAGGTTCCTGGGAAACCACAAGCAGGAAGGATCTAGGGGAATGGGAGGGGAGATGGCAGATGGCAGATGGGGTGCTGCCTCATTCCCCAGCAGCAGCAAGGTCATTGCTGTACACTTTATCCCCAAGGGAACCAGTGCCTTCTGCAGAGCATGAACAAGTATGGTTAGGGTTCAAGAATAAGGGTTATTTGTCTCAGGCTGGAAAACATGGCTCCCGGCAGAGGAGTGGGAAAGCCTGCATATTTCACTGGGGAGGGGTAGGAATTTGAACCTCCATGGGGACTTGGTATTTGGTAACAATAGGTCTCTCCCTCCAAAAGCAGAGAGATTCCATGGCTCAAAACTGCAGTGAAGCAGTTCAGGGTGGGTAGAGCTAAGGTGCAAAGGGTGTGTGGTAGGTGGCTCTTCTGTCTGTGGGAGCCTCATCCAGGTGCCCTGTCTTGCCCAGCCATGCAAGGCTGAAGTAAGAGCGAATACTGGCAGCACAGCTCCCCACTCAGGATCTCTGATCCTTTGTTCCCACTTCTCCTCTTGGCTGCCCTTCACCCCTCACCAAAAAGCACCCACCTTCCCCTACCCTCCCCTGTCTCCCCTCATTCTGGCTGGGGCGTTCACTGCTTTCTTTTCTCTCTTCTCCCTCCTGTCTGTCAGCCGGTGAGTAAGGCAACACTGGGGTGCCTGCTGGTCTCTAACCTCAGCATGAGCCTTGCTCATGGCGTGTCTGTGTGCCCAGCCCAGTGCTGGGGTGGGACTTGGGTGTGTCCACAGGGACCCTGAGGTCCTTGTGTTTGTGTTTGTGTACTCACCCCTGCTCTAGCTGCTGTCTGGTGCAAGTTGGGCCAGCAGTGAGCTCTGCTTGTGCATACAGACCCTGTGTGCGTGCACACGTGTGCTGTGGTGTGTGCATGTGTCCCTCCAACCCAGGGGAGGACCCTTAGGGCACTGCCTGCCACCTCATCCTGATGGGGCCAGCCCTCCTCGGCTGGGATGTCACTCCAGGGTATGCCCCTTTGCCCAGCTTGTGTTTGCAAACAAACGTCCAAAATGGGGACAGTGAAGGAGGTATGCTTCTGGAGCTTGAAATTATTTGCAGGGGAGAAATTTTGGTGTGGGTAGCTGCTGAGTGCAGAAAGGCTTGTGCTGAGGGTCTTGTGTCTGTAAGATGTCCCAGAAGCTGTGGATGCAGGAGGGCCCTGGGGAAGCTCATACTATCCTGGGGCACAAATAGAATAGCCAGACTGACTTGAGAAAGCATCTCAGACAGTGCCTGACATGTACACGTGTGGGAGGGGCTGGGGGATCCCACCCTACTTCCCAGGGAAGCACACTCCAAACAGACCTATGAAGTTCCCCTTTTCCACGTGCTTACATCTGCTCCTTCCCTCCAGATCCTGCAGAAACCAACCCATGAGCTGAAGCAGCAGCTGGCAGGCTACTCCAAGCGCGTGGCCAGCTCTGTCACTGAGCTCATCCAGGCAGCCGAGGCCATGAAAGGTAAGGAAAGATCCTGCTCAGAGGGACATAACCAAGAGCTGGGATTAGGGTGAAAAGCTCAACAGCTCCTGGAGGAGGCAGAGAAACTCAGAAATGAGACTGCATGCAGGTGTGACCTGCCTGGCTTCCTGGTCTTCCTAGGGACGGAGTGGGTTGACCCAGAAGACCCCACTGTCATCGCTGAGAATGAGCTGCTGGGGGCAGCAGCTGCCATTGAGGCTGCAGCCAAGAAGCTGGAGCAGCTGAAACCAAGAGCCAAGCCCAAGGTAGTAGTGCTGAGCCTTGTCTGACCTTCGTGCTCAGTGTGGGGTGGGCTGGGGCTCCTTTGCCTGTGCTTTAGCCAGGTTTGAAGGCCCATCTGACAGCTGGTCCCTTTTCCTGTACTCCTGCTACCTCCCACATCCCCAGCTGAACTTTCCTTGGGTATCCCATGCCCCGCTGCACTCCATAGCCCTTAATCCAGCTTTGTATGTTTGCCCTCAGCCCCCTGCAGCCATCCTCCTGTTCTACTCCATCTGTCCCAGCACTCCTGCTTGGGACTCACACTCTGCTTTTGCCCACAGCAAGCAGACGAGAGCCTGAACTTTGAGGAGCAGATCCTGGAAGCTGCCAAATCCATTGCTGCAGCCACAAGTGCCCTGGTGAAGGCAGCCTCAGCAGCTCAGCGGGAATTAGTGGCCCAAGGAAAAGTAAGGCTGTAAGAGGGGAAGAAGAAAATGTAGAGAATGGTTCTCCCTTCTTCTGGGGCTGCTTGCAACCTTCATGCCTGTGACAGGAGGTGTGCAGGGTGGTGACCCTTACTCCTCCCCTCCTTCACAGGTGGGTGCCATCCCAGCCAACGCAGTGGATGATGGACAGTGGTCCCAGGGTCTCATTTCAGCTGTGAGTATCAAGGTCATGCCAAGGGGTTGAGGGGGAAACTTTCCTCTTGACTCTTGTTGCAAACACGAGGATGTTCTGCCCTTTTCCTTGTCATCAGTGGAAGAAGCAGCCATGCTTCTTCCTCCTTCTCCCACATGCTGTGGAAGGTGGTTCTTTCCATCCCATGTCCCACAACCTCCCTGGAGCCGATCAGGGCTCCTGTTCCTCCCCTGACAGCCTCTCTTGCCACAGGCACGCATGGTGGCTGCTGCCACCAACAACCTGTGCGAAGCCGCCAACGCCGCGGTGCAGGGCCATGCCAGTGAGGAGAAGCTGATCTCCTCTGCCAAGCAGGTGGCTGCTTCCACAGCCCAGCTCCTGGTGGCCTGCAAGGTGAAGGCTGACCATGACTCGGAGGCCATGAAGCGGCTCCAGGTGAGTCCTAGGCTGCCTCTTCAGCCCCTGTTGTTTGAAGGGTGCCTGGGAGTGGTGTGAGGGCACATGGACGCTTTCCGGGGCTCACGCTCTCTGCCTGTAGGCCATCAGTGGGAAGTTCATTGGAACACAGGCTCCAGGTTGCTTGGATTTCACTGCTAGCTGTGTGCCAGGCATGTGAGTGATGCTGGGCTGCTCAGCCTGGCAGCATTCAGGAACAACGACCTGGCACAGGAATACCTGAAATGGGTGCACTTCCTCAGTGGCATTCAAGAGGTTAATGTGTGGGGGGCATGTTCCGTAGCACCTTTAATCCCCAGATGCCATGGCACACAAGAGGTTAATGCCCATGTGTTGGGGGGTTAACAGGGGATCTCAGCTCTGGGGCCAAGGGCTGGGGAGAGGCAGCAGGACTGCCTCCCAGTCCCTGCCCTGCTGCTCAGAGAGGAGCCAGAGCCTGGCTGGGAGCAGAAGCGCCTGAAATGGTCATGAGCGGGTGACAAGGCAGCGAACCATGTAAAGGAATCCCTGCCTGCAGCTCCCAGCACTCCTGGCTGCCAGTCCTGCCTGCTGCCCAGCCTGGGGCAGGAGTTCCTTTACACCCCTGCACAGCAATCATACTCTGGGGTTGTGACTCACACTGATGCTTTCCTCCTTCCTGCTGCAGGCCGCTGGTAATGCCGTGAAGAGGGCATCAGACAATCTGGTGAAGGCAGCACAGAAGGCAGCTGCCTTCCAGGACCATGATGAAACGGTGGTGGTGAAGGAGAAGATGGTCGGAGGAATTGCACAGGTGAGGAGTGAGGCTGCTCAGGGCAGGAGCACCTCTAGGTGCCACCACAACCTGTGTGTGCCAGTCTCAGAAGCATGTCCTAGAAACCAAGCACAGGTCATGTCTTGAGAGAGCCTCACAAAAATGCTGTGAGTTCACCCATCCCACTGTATCATTGCAATGGGCCCCCAGCCGGGTAATAATTGGCACAGACTCCATGTATTATGGAAGGCTGATTAATATATCTGTATTAAGAAACCCATACTTTTATATCTTAGTTCACCTTAGCTACAGGTGTACTTGATTGGTCCTTTAGTCCAAACACCATCACCATTGGCTAATGAAGAAACCACCCTTTGGTAAACAAATCTCCCTAACGTGTTCCACTTGTTCACAAGACCAGGTGCAGCAAGTTAAGAATTGTTTCTTGTTCTTTTCTCTGATCTTCTCACAAACTTTTCCCAGAGCAATGCCTGGGAAAGTTGTGTTTTGCTCTGTGGCCAGAGAGCTGCTGCCACACCACTGAGCACCAGTTAAACAATGAGGCCTCACCTTATCCCACCACAAGTAGCAGTGGGTGATGGTGCTTGCTCCCAGGAGTGTAAAGCCCTGGCTTCTCCTTGGAGCAGAGCCCACAGTATCCTTTGTGACACAAGGAAAAAGCAGAGCAGTGGGTAGAGGACAAGATCTATCTCGTGTGGGGTGTCACAGTGCTGGCTCCCTGCAGCTGTGACCCTCTACACAGCACACGGGGCAGAGCCCAGAAGCTCTGCTGTTCTGCTTTATGTCCAGAGTACCATGCTCCCGCCCAGGGACAAACAGTCCTCATGCCCAGTGAGGCAGTGGCTGTGATGGGAGGGAAGCAGCAGCCAGAGAACACAGCTCTGGGGTTGACACTGCTGTGGCAGAGGCTCTGGCCATCCCTGTGGGAGGCAGGTGTGACCTCGGGGTTCTCTCCTGGCAGATTATCGCCGCCCAGGAGGAGATGCTGCGCAAAGAGCGGGAGCTGGAGGAGGCGCGGAAGAAGCTGGCAATGATCCGGCAGCAGCAGTACAAGTTCCTGCCCTCGGAGCTGCGGGACGAGGAGCAGAACTGAGCCGCACGCCCTCCGCTCGCCGCACAGACTGCCGCCTGCCCACCTGCCTGCTCCTATTTAAGACGACCCGCCACAAGCAAAGGGCTGTCTGGGCTAGACCAGAGCTCTGCCCGCACCCAGAGCAACGGGACTAACTCAGCTGCCCCTCCAAGCCGGTGCTGCACCAGCAACTCCGCTTTGCTGCCCAGCCCACCTTCCCATGCACACCCAAGGCACAATCAGAGCGCTCGGAGGGACTCGGTTGGGGTGGGAGCCGGGGCTGCACTGGCTCAGGGCTCACCCGCCAGCCCCGGGGTGCGGGCCCACAGAGCTCTCCACTGCAAGGGGATATTTACTTGTGCCTTCTTCCTTCCCTCTTGTGCCCCTTTCCTTCTCCTCCACGCGGGATGGGGACAGGCAGGTGGCTTGCCCTCTCCTGCGCGATGGCGTGCAGGGAGCAGCCACCCCTCGCTAAGCTCTCGCGTGGAGCTGCCTTTCACCTCCAATGCCTTATTGCTGGCTGAATCTTCCTCTGCAGCTGTCCTGGAAGGCCCTGAGTCCACCCCATGAGTATCTTTTTCAGCCCAGGCCCCTCTGTGGAGCAGCAGGGCTGGAAGCCACAGTGCCTCCACTCAGGATGGGGGGTTATGTGATGAATTCAGCCCCCCAGAGCTGTTTTTTGCCTTCCTGCAGGGCTTTCCCCTGACTGCGGCCCCAGCCAGCTCTGCCTTCCTCCTTCTTCCCAAGTGCCTGCATTGTTTTCCAAGATCTGCAGTATTTTTGTAACTTTTCCATTTCTCTAGTATTGAGCCTGCAGCTTCCAAAGTTCATTTATTTCCCTGCCTGCTCATGCCCTGCACACTAACACCCGGCTCTCGCCGGGGTCCCGTAGCCCAGCATCCCACCCCTCCTTGGCTCCGGGACCCCTGTCCCTTCCCCTTTGCACTTGCTGAGGCTTCTCTCACCATTTTGATACTTTAAGCATCCCATATTAAAGATTGAAGGAAACCAGCTCCCCCCTAAGCCTCCGGGGTGGGGTGGGGGATGCCAGTGTCTCCTCAGAAAGACACGTTCAACAATAAAATCTGGTTTTCCTGCTCTCTTGCCAACTGGGTATCAATGGGCCTCTCCAGGAGAAGGAGAGGGCAGGGGGGCCTGGGCGCCTTCCCTCCAGCAGAGGGAGGGGGGAGTGTACCACGGGTGCTTATACAGCATGGAAAATATTTGAGGCACGTCCAGCCCCAGGCACCCGGCTGGCCGGACCCCCGCTGCCAGCCATGTGCTGGCCTCGCAGGTGCTGCCGGGGGGCCACCACTGCAGGAAGGGATCTTGGGGATTTTGTTTCTTGGGGATTTGGGCTTCAGGGAAGGCAGGGGGGTGTTTGTGTGTCGAGCTCAGCTCCTGGCCCCATTCCTGCTACCAGCCAAATACACTCCTGGGTAGGGTGCAATAGGTGACTCCCACCCCGTAGTCACTGGTGGGCCATCAGTGGGGAAGCAACAGTCTGTTGTGGTGTGGGTCTGGGAATGTGGCCGGAGCCTTCCCGGCTGCCAGCGTTGATCTCACGCCCCGAAATAGCCCCCCAGAGCCAACCTGTGCGGGCAGCAGCTGCCCCAGCGTGTCCCCACCTGTTCCCACCCTGTCACTCAGCAGGGATTTGGGGGGCCTAAGCAGTGGCAGGGCAGGCGGAGGTGATGTGGGGTGCAGCAGGGACGTTGCAGGGTGCAACAGGGGCACGGGCAGGTTGGCACGTGTCCTTTGCCTCTGGGGCTGTTCCTGGTGGTGTGAGCTACAAACATCAGTGGCAAGGGCAGCATCCTGCAGCATCCCGGACAGCAACCCCCGTCCCCCTGTGGTCACGTCCCTGGGGGTGTGGAGGGCCTGTTTCTCCTAAGACACTTACCCCTGGCCAGGCTCCAGGGTGGATTTGTGGCTCTCACAGGCATCCCAGTCCTCCCAGCTGTCCCCTGACAATCTGCACTGGCCTGACCCAGGCTCTCACCCAGGTACCAGCTTGGACACGGGGCCCTTTGGAGTGTCCAGCAAGGACAGTGAGCGGGCACAGCATGGCAGCAGCTCTGGTCTCATCCTGGCATCGTGGGGAGAAGGGAGCTCCAGCACTCCCTGCATAGGGCTGTAAGCATATCCACTGCTGTGTCCAGCTTGGGTACAAGCAAGAGGTGGTGGGATAAATACCAGGGGAGGGACATGGGGGCGTGATTAACCCCCGCCCCTCAATCTCACACGCTGATCAAAGGGCTATTTTGGCAGGCAGGTTCAGGAAAGCACATAAAGAGGTTTGGAGCTGGGACGACACAGTCATAAGGTGCCAGGCCACTGCAGGGATCCAAATTCAGCTAAGTTGGAGGTTAGTGGGCAAAACACATCCCAGCTTCTTGGGGAGCCCAGGGATGGGGCAGCTGGGGATCGCACCTGGAAAGGTCTCATTAGTTGTCAGGACAAGCTTTTCCTTGGGAGTAAGGTCTGACCTAGCTTGAAGTATGGAGGGGATTGCCATCCTTGGAGACCTCAGCACAGGACAAGCCTGGGCATGGGGCAGCAAAGGGAGGGATGTTCACCCACACCCCCCTGCAGTCCCTTTTCCCACAGGTTACCACAGAGGTCAGGCTTAAGGGCAGAGTCATGGACCTTGGCTCCTGGATGATTCCAGCAGTGTCCATCAGACATAGCTATGATGTCTGGAGCAAAGGGGGCAGAGAGAGAGAACAGCATCCTTTGGGGGCACATCTGAGGGCTGGCCTGGCTCCAGGGCAATTTCCTTCATTATATTTGCCCCACGCACTGAGCACACGAAGTTCCTCAAGCCAATGTAGTTGCTCCAGGCTGAAACATCTCGCAGAAAAACAATTATTCTCTCCCAGGAATGATGGGAGATGAATCTTCCCCCTCCCCTCAGAAGCCACATGCTGGCAGTTACAGACTCTCCTTGTCCAAATATGTGCCTAATTTATCAGTACTAATAGCTTCTCTCGAGTCCCGCAGTGGCTCTTCTGCTTTCCCCATGGAGCCAGCAGCCTGCTGGTGCTTGACTGCTCCCACCCCTCCTATGCCCTCCACCATCCGAGCCTGAGGGCTCCTAAAAGGAACTTTCTCCAGCTGTCAAAAACTTTTTGTTCCTCTCTTCTTGGAGCACTGGTGCTGTGAAGTTGTGTCAAGCAAGGGTTGGCTTGCTTGTAGCCCAGGGGCAATGGGCTGGGGGAGCCTGTGCACCCCTCCTGTCCCCATCCCATCCCATCCCAGCCTTCCACACGTGCCACACGGCTCCCATGGCCTCTCCACCAGCTCCTTCCAGCCCCCCCGACCCACAGCCCACCCTGCAGCTGGGAATGTGCCAGAAGCATTTACGATCGTTATTAAAGTACAGGTTATTTTTGGAGGAGCTGGGATTTGAAGGGTTTGCATTTTTTTGCCTGTGGAATACAGTTTATTTAGAGCAGAAAGATGAAGAGGGGCAGTGAGCTGCCTGTATGCCCTGTGTCACTTTAAAATGCCAATCTATGGGCTGTGCATGTGCCAGGTGTCCTTGTGAGTGCTAGGGAGAGTGGCACCAAGGTGCAAGCAGAAGGAAGGTGGGTGCCAAGAAGTGTGCACAGAGTTCTGGCCCTCCTGCCCCACCAGCAGCTGGATGGGAAAGTCAGGGGCTCTGCTCAGTTCTCCCCTGGGGGATTTTCCCCATGTGGGCAATGCCAGCCAAATGCATCCCTCAGTGCAATCACAGCCTGAGTGTGTCCCCTACAATTCAGTGCCAGGCCACTGGTGTTCCCAAGTGCCATGCCAGCCCTTGAGGTGTCCCCAAGCCAGTGCCAGCAAGCAGGGTCCCTCAGGCCCCAGGGTGCTGTGACAGGGCATGTGGTGTACCTAGGGCATTAGAATGAGGACAGCTCTAACTGGGGCAGTGCCACTGGGGTACCCACACTCAGTGTCCCAGGATGTCCCCTGCCCGCTGCCATTGGGGTACCCCCAGCACAGTGCTACGGAGTGTCCCTCATCCAGGATCCAGGGGTACCACCACAGCGTTGCCCCGGGGTGTCCGTCACCCAGTGCCACCAGGCTACCCACAGCACAGTATCCCGGGGCGTCTCTTGCCCAGTACCACCGGACTGTCCCTAGCGCCGTGACCCGGGGTGTCCCTCGCCCTGTTTCCCGGTGGGTGCCGGCCGCCAGGGCTGCGGCGATGCCCGCCGGGGGCCGCCCCCCCGTCCCGCTCGGTGCGAGGGCCGGTGGCGAGCCAGTCCCTAAAAGGTGCTGGCGGGCGGCGGGGGAGGTACCGGGGCAGCCCCCGCCCGGCACGGCCCCTCCCCAGCTTTTAGGCAGCTCGGCGGGGCGGGGAACGCAGTGCCGGTGCTCCCTCCGCTCCCGGTGCTCCCGCCGCTCCCGGTGCTCCCGCCGCTCCCGGTGCTCCGCGTCCCTCTGCCGCCCCGCGCCTCGCCGCCGACAACCCGCCACCATGGAGGCCATAAAGAAGAAGATGCAGATGCTGAAATTGGACAAGGAGAATGCCATCGACCGCGCCGAGCAAGCGGAGGCTGATAAGAAGCAGGCGGAGGATCGCTGCAAGCAGGTGGGTGTCCCATGGGCTTCCCCGGCATTACCTGGGTACCCTCCACTCTAGGGGTGTCCAGCCCCAGGACCCTGTTCTTCTGGGAGTCCAGCCTGGGGACCCTCCACCCTAGGGTAGTCCAGTCCTAGAAACTCCGTCCTGCTGGGTGCCCAACCCCGGGGATGCCATCCCACTGATCGTCCAGCCTGGGGACAGTGCACTCTCTAGGATCACAGAGTCCCCATACTGATCTCCCCACACTGGTTCTCCAGCCTGGAGTCCCCTGTCCTAAGCATGTCCTGGCCCAAGGACCTTGCCCCACTGAGTGTCCTGCTTGTGGATGCCAGCTCTAGGGATTGACAGCCCTTAAGACCTTCTCTCTCTGTGACCATGTCCCCAGGGACATCCCCCCATATTCCCCAGGAACCAATACTTTAGTCTCTTTCCCTTGACCCCCTATGCTGGTCCCCCCAAACATGTCTTATCTCAGTGGGACATCCCAGTTCCATCTCCCTATCCCTGTGCCAGGGAGAACTCTGGGGACTGCATTCCCACCGCAATCACAAAGAGATGGGAACTCACGTTGGTGTCCCCCACAGCTGTATCCCCAAGTCAGGAGCTCTCCAGCCCCTGTACAGGGAAGAAGACCACCACCCCCTTACCTCCACCAGGCTCAGGGATGATGGGGGTCCAGGAGGCTGCTGTACACCAAGAGCCCTCCAAGGACCGTAGACTCAAAGCTGTCAGAGGACACATCCATGTCCATGTTTTCCTGCTGTGCCCCACTGTCGCCCTGATTTTGTAAGACTTTGTTAAGCCTTCTTACGTTTGCGTTCTTTCAACAAACTTTCTCACACACAGTTCTGTAAATAACCTATGTTTTGCATTCTTTCATGGAGGTGGAGAGAATTGATGGACCCTTGGTCTGTCCAGTGGCATTGGAGAGGTGGCACTGTCACCCTCCAATCCACTGTCACCTTTAGAAAACTATAAATGTTAGAGTCAGAAAATAAAGTTCTTCTTCTTCTTCCTTTTTGTTCCCCTCGAGAGCAGCAGTGTCTGTGTCATCATTTTGTGCCGTATCACAACACCCCACAGAGGCTGGGTGACACCAGGAGGAGAATGGGAGGACAGATCCCCTTCCAGCCTTGCAGACACTGCCATCCCCACTGAACCCCACCCTTTGTCCTTTCCCCAGCTGGAGGAGGAACAGCAGGGCCTGCAGAAGAAGCTGAAGGGCACTGAGGATGAGGTGGAGAAGTACTCCGAGTCTGTCAAGGAGGCCCAGGAGAAGCTGGAGCAGGCAGAGAAGAAAGCTACAGATGTAAGTAGGCACGCCAGCAGCTCCTCCCCTGCGCAGGCTCTGGACCTCGGGGGGGGGTTAAAGGAAGAGGGGGCCCTTATATGGAAAGCGTCCGAGGGAAGACTGTCAGGATCCCATTCCTTCGATGTTGACACTGAACCGGGCTGATGGGTCCTGCGTGGGGTGGGGGGGCCAGGCCCGCTGCGCTGAGCAGCTGGTTGCTGGTCCTCTCTT